TTTCATGATTCAAGATTATTGTACCTTAGATTATTATGCTGCTCTTAATACCTTTTTATATCTATTTTACAAAAAAAAAAAAAAAAAACAGTGGGGTTTAGGGGGAATTTTATTTATTTGTTATAACTTGGAAACTAAAATTATAAATATGCCCGAAGACGAGAAAAAATTATCTAATATTCGTAATATTGGTATCATAGCTCATATTGATGCCGGAAAAACAACTACTACTGAAAGAATACTTTACCATACTAAAAAAATCCATAAAATTGGGGAAGTTCATGACAAAGAGGGCAAAGGAGCCACTATGGATTACATGGAGCAGGAAAAGAAAAGAGGAATTACTATCCAGTCAGCTGCTACTACAGTTTATTGAAAAGATTGTCAAATAAATATTATTGATACTCCTGGACACGTCGATTTTACCGCCGAAGTGGAAAGATCTTTGCGAGTCTTAGATGGCGGAATAGTGGTTTTAGATGGCAAAAAAGGAGTAGAGGCTCAGACTGAGACAGTTTGGCGTCAAGCTAATAAATACAAAACACCACGCTTAATTTTTATTAATAAAATGGATGGAGTAGAAAGTGTTGAAAAGTTTGTGGATAATTTAAGGAGTATTAAGAAAAAACTCTATACGGTTCCTCTGGTAGTCCAGTTCCCGATTGGAGCCGGCAGAGAATTAGAAGGAGTAGTTGATATAATAAGGCAAAAAGCCTATTATTTTCAAATGGGCGATAAGGATGAAAATTATCAGGAGAGGGAAATTCCTTCTTACTTGATGGAAGACACCAAAAAGTATCGGCAAGAATTGTTGGAAAGCATAGAAAAGATAATTGAAAAAGATGAGGAACTATCCCTAAAATATTTGGAAGGTGAAGAATTATCAGTAGAAGAAATTAAAAAGTTATTGCGCCAAGCCACTTTAACAGGCGAATATTTCCCATTATTTTGCGGTTCTGCTTATAAGCATGTGGGAGTAAAATTAGTTTTGGATGGAGCAGTGGATTATTTACCTTCTCCACTGGATATACCTCCAATTCCAGTTTTTTCTCCATCTGAAGGGGATAAATCAGAAAAAGAGCAGAAGAATGTCGTAGAAATTAAGAAAGAAATTGCTGAATTAGAGAAGTCGCTTAATAACTTGAATCTGGCATTATCTGGCGGGCAATCAGCAGAAAATCGGACTGACCAGGCTCTCCAAGTGGTTAAATTTGAAATGGAAGAAAAGTTAATTGATTTGAGGAAGCAATTAAAGAGGAATTGTTTAGCCCTTGCTTTTAAAATCATTTTTGATGAAAATAATAGGCAGATGACTTTTGTTCGAGTTTATGCTGGAAAAATTTCTGCTGGGTCTCGTATCTATAATGTTAACAAAAAGAAAGAAGAGGTAATAGGCAATAAAGCCTTGGTTCGCATGCATGCTGATAGTAAAGAAGAGATTAAAGAAGTAGGAACTGGTGATATTGCAGCTATAATTGGCTTAAAATACACCGTTACCGGCGATACTTTCGGAGAAGAAGAAAACCCTGTGTTACTTGAAAGCATTAATTTCGCCGAACCAGTAATTTCTCAGGCTATTGAACCTAAAACTAATAAGGACCAAGACAAATTACGGGATGCTCTGGAAAGGCTGGAAATTCAAGATCCTAGTTTCAGACATTGGACAGATCGGGAAACAGGACAAATGATTATTGCTGGAATGGGTGAATTACATTTAGAAATTTCGGTGGAGAGATTACTCCTAGAAAGCAAGGTAGAGGTGGAGAGAAAGCAACAAAAAGTATCTTACCGAGAAACTATTACTAAAAAGAAAAAATTTGATAAGGTTACTCTTAAGAAACAAACTGGAGGAAGCGGACATTTTGCTCGGATTACTATTGAATTCGAACCAGTAGTTAATAATGAAATAAAAGATTTTGGTCGGGTTTTGAATGAAACAGAGAAAAAAAAAGAAGTTCAATCCCTCCAAGAAAGATTGAAACAATGAGGGATAAACTTAGAGGAATTGGAGCCTTCTAACCGTGATTTTGAAGCAGAAATTAAAGAATTAGAACCTAGTCATTTAGTCAAGTTAAAAGAGATTCGTGATAAAGTAGAAAAGGACGCTTGAGGAAAAAGAAAAAAAAAATATTCGGTTAGCAATGAGTTCGTGGATGCTAAAAAAGGTCAGGAAATGTCAGGCAAAGATGCAGAAGAAGTAAAAAAAGGTTTGGAAGAAGCCATGTCATCTGGTTTGCTTTTAGGTTATCCTTTGATAGATGCAAAGGCAACTTTGCTGGAGGGGGAAAGACATTCAGTAGATACTAAGCCAGGGGACTTCAAAGAAGTGGCTGTTTTGGCATTCCGAGGAAAAGGAATGGAGGAAAGGGAAGAAAGAGTTAAAGAGTTAGGAGTAGTTTTGTTAGAACCGATTATGCAAGTGGAAGTGATAGTGCCGAAAAACTATATGGGAGATATCATTGGCGACCTTAGTTCACGCCGCACTGTAATCGAGAATACAGAGGAAAAAGAAGGTAATGCTCATATAGGGGGCAAAATCCCTCTAAAAGAAATACTTAATTATTCGACAATCTTGCGCCAAATAACCGGGGGGCGAGGTGAATATTTAATACATTTCTCTCACTATCAGGAGGTTCCTGTTAATGCTTTAGAAGAAATATTAAAAGAGGAAAGTTATAAAAAAAGTTAGGCGTGTTTTAATTAACTTTTTATTCGAGAATATTTGTTAGGAACCTTAAGGTTGAAGCAAGCGTGGGATTAGTTAGAATCATTCTGTTCTTTTCAAAACCCATTTTTTACTAAATAGTAAGAAATTGCTCCAACAATAATGGCCGTCGAAACGAGAATAATTGTTACTATTGCTGTCGTTGTTTTGTATCAAGGGGTAGGTGAAGAGAAATTATTCTGGTTTTCAGATTCGGCTTTTAGGATTTGTCATTCAGAAAACTTCTTTTCCATTTTATTGACAAGTTCTTTAAGGGCAATTTTTTGAGTGCTGGAATAACTTTGGATAACATTATGTTTGGCTCCTCCTTCGACATAATTTTTTATTTTCGCAAGTTTATTTTCTAAATCTCCTAATTGTTCTTTCCAATCATTATAATCTGACATTATAACAGTCATTAGTTGGCTTAAATTCTTTTCATCCTCATTGGCACCATTTCCTTTTTCTCTAATCTCGACTGCTTTTTCTAAAAGAGGGAAGTAAATATTGTCGTAATCTGATTGGTTGTTTCTATATTCGGGTTTTTTAACAAATTCTGACTTAGCCACTTGGAATTCGGCCTTGTTTTTGGAATTTTGAATATCGTAATGAGTTTTTTTCCTTCTCTCCGCCCAGTCTTTTAACATTTTTAGCATTTCATCTGCATAACCTTGATTTTGACCATCTCTTTTATATTTATTAATAGCATTTCAGGCAGTTTCGTTGCTGGCGTCATTTTTCAGATTATTAAGGGCATCTAGTAGTTCACCGTTATCATCTTGGCTAGCCTTCCTAATCTCTTCCAATTTTTCAAAAATCTGGCTAGTTTTATTCAAGTTTGTTTCTGAATTTTTAATATCTGCAACTACCGTTTCATAAGCGTCTTGTCCGCCAATTTTCAGATCAGTTAATAAATCTTTTAATTTTTGGCGGGCTTCTTCAAGTTTATTTTCCTGAGGAGATTTTAATTTTTCCACAGCAGTTTTTACACAGTCTTCTGTGTCACTTTCTTGTTTTTTAACCTGCTTTGCGATTTCTAAGGCCTTTTTTTTGTTGGTGTCACTGCTACCGACAAAATTATTTAAGTCATTTTTAGTGTTAGGTTTTACAGTTCCAAAAGCCTCGTCTAGCAGATTTACAAGATTTTTTAGTTCAGAAAATACTGCTTGGGTAAATCCGTTTTTATTTGCTTCCAAACCTTCATAAATCTTTTTGGCTAGTTCACTACCACGATTTTTAAAACCCGCCAATTCAGTTTCAAAGTTTTTATGCTGCAAAGCTCCTTTAATTTCATCCAAAAAATTGTCAATTACTTCAACTCAAACACCTCCAGCTTTATAAATCTGGCTACTTTTTCAGGTGTTCAGACTGAGTTGCATTGATTTTAAACTTTCTTCATTCATATCACCAAAGTTCGAGCTTAAAAGTGTTTCATAACTATCAATTCATCCCTTGGCTAACTTATAAGCCTCAGTGATTTTTTGCTGAGTTTCCGAGTCATTTCATTTAGGAGCATCAGTGGCTCCATGACCATCTTCATCTCCAGGAATTATTCACTGGCAACATAAACTTCCATTGTCCAATTCGGCTTTGAAAGCCTTGTAATAATGCTCCAAAGTTTGCTTGCGATCTCAATCTTTCACCTCATCGAATTTTAAATTGGTATTGGGAGTTTTTACCCATCCGTTTCTTGGATTTTCTTTTCGTTTATCCGAACTGAATTCACTTTGGGCAAAATAATAATCCTTACCAAAGAAAGCTAAATTTATGGCCTCATCTACATTTTGAGCCGCAAAAATGTCGTAGTATATCTTGGAGCAATCATTATTGAAAATTCATCTACCATTTTTATAAGTATGATAGTATATATCGTTTTTAAATCTAAGAATTAAATCACCCGGTTGAAAACCTAAACATTCCTTCGGTTCAGTATTAACATGTTTATCTTTAACTAAATTACCGCTATTATCTTTAAGTTCTGTTTCTCGTCGAAATATATCATAATTGGTAAAAGGATTTCGAAAATTATCAATATTTTCCTTGGTAAAACGAACCACTTTGTCGGGGTCTACTTTTTCTACTTTAAATTCGTTATCAGAGGAGTCTAAAGTAACTTTAAAATTAGGGTCTAAAAGCGGAAATCCTTTATACTTCCCTCTCTGTTTTTTAAATTCTTTAAATTCATCATCATTTCCTTTATAACCTTCTGCTTTTAGGATTTGAATTTGCGATTTTCTCCTTATACCACACTTGGATAATCTTCTTAAAATTTTTAGTTTTTCTATTGATAAATCTATTTCTTCTCTTAAATCATCAGTTAAATTATACAAAATTTTTCTAATATCATTATTTGGACTATGCGGATAGGCTTGTAATCCGGTTGCTTCTCTGTTTCTGGTCGGATTTTCATCATCTTCTATACTTGGTTTCCCAAGTTCTACGGGGTTAGTAATATCATAATCTGGTCCGTCTTCAATTTCGGATCCGTATTTGGTTTTAATACTTTCCAGCATCCTTTCTAAATTTAAAAGAGCTAATTTTTGGTCATTTAGGTCTCGTAATAATTCAGGTTGGTTGTCAGCATTATCGTGATAGTTAACATCGTTGATATCGATTTTATTTTCATCAAGCATTCCACCAAAGTCGGCAGGAGTAAGAAGTAGAGTATTATTATCAGGAAAATTTCAATAATCGCTCGCTTGATTAAGATTCTTATTAATAATTAACTGAAAACCATTTCTATTATTGAGTTTAAGAAGCACGAGACGATAAAAAGTGGTCAAAATAGGAGTTGGGCCAGTAATAATAACTCTATTTATATTACTTACTTTTCTAGAGGCACCGCCGTCAATCAGAAAAATAGGAGCTGTTAAGGCGATTTTACCATTTACTCCATCTCCCATATCATTACTCCATACTTCAAAACCTGACTTTACAATTTCCAGAGTAGATTCAGTTGCTGAGTCATGATTTAAATTTAATTGATTTTTTCGTCTTACTCAAATTTTTAAATTAGTTGTCATATCAAAATGATTTTATTCTGTTTTTATTATTGCTCTGCTTATTGACTGAACCAAATAACAAATTTTTTCCCCTAACCGTTTTTTTTTTTTTTTTTGCATAATTCTATCGTTAATATTTATCACAACCTTTTAGTTTAATTTTATAATAAGTTAATACTCCTATCATGGCAGCATTATCAGTGGAATATTTAATATTTGGTATAAATATATCTATATTTTTGTCCCATTTTTTTATTTCGCGAGTAAGATAATTTCTTAAAAAATAATTAGCGATTACTCCACCACCAATGATAATGGTTTTGGCATGGGTAATCAACCAAGCCCTTTTTAATTTTTTAGTTAGTATTTCAGCCAAAGTATGTTGCAAAGAGCAGGCTAAATTATTAACATTCAAATTTTTTTTTTCACTATTTACTAGGCGAGATATCTCACTTTTTAGACCACTAAAACTAAAATCTAGACTTTTGTCATTTTTCGGTAGAGGCAGTTTATAATTTTTTTCTCCGCTCAGTGCTAATTTTTCAATGATTGGTCCTCCGGGGTAGTTATAACCGAGTAAAATCGCAGATTTGTCTAAGCATTCGCCAATTGCATCATCTAGCTTTTCGCCTAAAAGAACAAAATTAAAATGACTATTTAATTGGTAAAGTTGAGTGTGACCGCCACTAATAATTAAAGCCAAGGCCGGAAATTCTCATTCCTTTTTGTTTTCTAATAAACTGGCATATACATGTCCCTCTAAATGATTAATGGGAAAAAGTGGTTTGTTTAGGTAAAGAGAAAGTGTTTCGGCTACCGCTTTTCCAATTTGAAGACAAATAACTAGTCCGGGCTTTTCCGTATAAGCAATATAGTCAATTTTTTCCGGGGAAATTTTGGCTTCTTGCAAAGCCTTTTGGAGAACTTTTTGAATGTTTTTAACATGTAATTTAGCCGCTAAACTAGGCATTACTCCTCCATATTTTTGTTGCTCTAATATTTGGGAAATGGTAACATTACTAAGAATTTTTTTATTCTCCAAAACGGCAATGCTGGTTTCGTCGCAACTAGTTTCAATAGCTAGAATTATCATAAAAATTTAATATTTGCCGGTTTTCTTGCCTGCCGCATTAATTATTTCTACTTCTGATTTTTTGATAAAGGTAATTTTTATTCATCGCAGCGTTTATTTGGCTAATTTTTCCTTTTTCTTTGCCTTAGTAAGAAAGTAAAAAGTAATAACTTCTAGTCCGCCAGAAACCAAGAAAAGAACCAAAAAATATTTGTCAAAAAAAGAAGGTTCGATACGATTCATTTTTTCGCTTAGTTCGCTAGACAATTGGGGATTTGAAGTAGAAGTAGAGGCTAGTAGTATAAACTTAGAAAAGTCAATTTTCTTTTTAACCGGCGTAGTTCCTGACCCAAATTTTACCTCTTTTTCGTATTCTCCTAAGTCAGAATTTTTAGTAGAATCAATAATTTTCAATAATTCATCTTTCAATTCCGGACTAGTAATTTTGTCAATATTTTTTAACCAAACAAGAAAATAATAAGGAGCAAACCCCATTTCTCACTCTCCGTATTCGTGGATTTGCTTTAACTTTTTTTTAAGCAATTCTAAATCTAAACTATTATCACCAAAATCAATGGTACCGTGATCTAAATGTAAGTTTTTTCGACCTAATTCTTTATTAAATTCTTCTCCGCAAAATAAAAGCAGTTGAGAATTTTCTTCAATTCCATATTCTTTTATTCATTGACTTTCATGGTTCGACAAGAAAGATAGGTAGAAACCATAGAGTTTTTTATCTTCTTCTGTTTTTTCTGTTTTTTTGTTGATTTTTTTTAAGAATTCTTCAAGTTGCTTCCGATAATTTTTTATTTCTTTTTCTAATTTTAGTTTTTTTGGTTCAGAAGGATTTATTGTAGAATCCGAAATATTTTTTAGAGCGCTTTCTAATTTTTCTTGCGGTTTATTTCCCTTTCTTTCTATTTCCTTTTTTACTATTGAATAGGTTATTTCGCTTGGCAAAAATCAACTAATTAATAGAATTGCCCCTATAATAACCCCAATTAGTAGTCTCCAATGCTTTTTTCACCAAAAAAGGAAAGCAAGGGGTAAAATGAGCATTAGGGCTAACCACCAAATGATTAATTTCATAATTTATTTTTTTGTAAAAAACTTTTTTCCACTTAGGAAATTGAATTAACTTTTTCATAAATCCCAGAAGCATATTAATACATATTAAAAGCAATGTTAATAAATTTTGTCACTAATTAAACAAAAACCGCTAAAAAAAAATCTCTCCAAGTTCCACTGTTTTTTTGTAAAATATGAATTATTATTAAATAATATAAATATGAGACCAGGACTAACTGAAGAAATAAAAGCAGCATTTCGTGCAAAAATTGGTGACAATGTTATTAATCTAACTGAAGAGAAGATAATACAATTATGGGACAATTATTATAGTCCGGTGAATATTGTTTCTTCTCGGTTTGGTGGTTTTCAGAGTGCTACCGAGAGCGGAGGAGGAGTTTGCTATTCTGCTAAATTTCCAGAAGGACCTTCTTATCCAGAAAAAGAAGTTCGTGATTGCGATGATGGACATTTCAATCCTTTTGCGAAAAGAAAAGAGTTTGCTGATGCAGAATCCCGATTAAGAAAGATTTTATTAGAAGTTAGTGAAGAAATTCTTCCCGAGGCAGAAAAGGAAAAATTGAAAAAATATCAAGAGGCTGATCCATCCACTTTCGAATATCAAGTTTATCATCTTTCACCTTTTCGTGATTACCTTTTCCCCGGTAAATTCTGAGATGAAAAAAATTTGGTTAATTATAAGAAGTTGATAGATGAACTAATAGGTTCGAGGCCAGAAAATGATGCTAATCCCTTGCACCCTGACTCTTATGCTGATACTGATATTAGTGATGATAAAATATTTGAGATTGAAGCAGTTGAAAATGGTCAAAGTCCGGATCAAATTGCTCTAATGGTTGGCTCCGGCAATATTATTTCAGGAATTGGTGGTGTTGACTATAATTGTGTAGTAATCAATCATCGTGGAAAGAAAGAAAATTTTTCCCCCGGTAAAAATATTGAAGTCAAGGGCATTAAAATGGGTCCGGGTAAAACTTATATTAGTTTTACTGCTGACCGTAGTCGAACAACTTTAAATATTCTTGATAATTATGAAAAAGTGGTGTTAATTAATGATGATGATTCAAACTTTCTCTCAGTTTTTGAAATTGTATTCAACGCCATTACAAATGATGTTAATCTAAAACAAATACTGGAGAAAGTTGGGAAAGAAGGAAATGATTTTTTAGATTCGATTACTGGTCGAGAGAGTGATTTTGTTAATAGTGATGGAGTTACTATCAATTATGAAAAAGTTAAAAGTTTTTTGGGTATATCTGATCAGCAGGAGTCCAAAACAATCTCCGAAATTAGAAATGAAATAATTAACGAAATTACAGCAGTTCTCAGGCAGTCTCCACCTCTTTCTAATTCTGATTTGCCTTCTAATTATCAAAGTTGACAAGGGAAAATTGAAAATCTTAATGATGAGGTTGCAATCAAAAGTTTTCGGGATGAGGTATTGGTTTTAATCAAGACTAAGCGGACTGAGCGACAAAAAACTAAGGGATTGGATGAAAATCTAGATCGGGCTAATTCTCCGGATGCTACTGATGAGCAAAGAGTTAAGACTCTTAAAGATAGCGGTGAGTTAGTAGGCCAGGAAACTTCTGAGCAAAAAACTAAAATAGAGCAAATTGAAAAGGATTTAGCCAAGAATCCAACAAAATTTCGAGAGGCTATCCAAGGTCTGCTGATCAGACAAATGGCTAGTCAAAAAGTAAAACCGGAAGAACTTACTTCTAGTAAAGAGGAATGGGAATCATTGGAAACTGAAACTGATCCAATCCAAATTAAAAATATTAAACAAAAAGTAAGCCAAGAAGTAGGAAGTAAAGGAGCCCAGAAAAAGATAGGATTTTTTACTACTCGAGTTAAAGATGCTTTGAAATTGGGGGATAAAAAACTAATTCAACAGTTTAAAGAAAAACTAATTGAATTTATTAATAGTCCTAACGCTTTTTATCAACAAAGAGTTTCGGAAGCACAGGTCTTACTATCCCAACTAGAAAATCCTAATCAGCAGAATGGTGACGGTTCCCCTAATTCAGATGGATTCCCTTGAAAAATAGTAGTGCCAGTTGCTTTGATATTAATAGTATTATCAGTAGCAATAGGAGCAATAATGCGAAAAAGAAAGAAACAAAAGTTTGCTAAATAAGATTTATAGATGTCAGAAAAAGATTTATCTTCCTATTTAAAAGAAAATGGGTTTATTATTCCTAATGCTGAAATTTATGGCGGCTTAGCTAAATCGTGGGACTTGGGTCCTCACGGAGCCGAATTAAAAAGGAATTTAAAAAATCTGTGGTGAAAATATTTTGTTACTTCTAGTCCTTATAATGTGGGAGTTGACAGCCAAATAATTACTCATCCCCAAGTTTTAACTGCTTCGGGACATCTCAAAGAATTTTATGACTGGGCGGTAGAGTGTTCGAAATGTAGAAAATTTTATCGTTTAGATAAAATTCTTTCCGAAAAAGATTACTCGGATTATTTAAAGTTAAACGAAGAAGACAAGTATTCTTATAAAATGCCCGAAAGGTGTCCTGGCTGTGGCAAAGAAATTAATAAAAGTCCGCAAAAGGTAAATTTACTTTTGGCAACTAATTTGCAAATAATTGAAAAAGGAGAGGGGAACAAAGTCTACTTGCGACCAGAAACTTGCCAAGGAATATTTACTAATTTTTTGTCTATCCAGCGTAGCACTCATCGAAAATTACCTTTTGGAGTTGGGCAAATTGGTAAGAGTTTTCGAAATGAAATTACACTTCGTCATGGTATTTTTCGCACTCGCGAGTTCGAACAAATGGAATTAGAATTTTTTTGTTCGTTAGAAGAAAGCGAAAGATGGTGAAATTATTGAACTGAAAAGGCCTGAAATTTTCTTCAAAAAATTGTCGTCAATGACCAAAAAAAAACCAAACAGATAGATTTGGTAAAAGAGGAATTACCCCATTATGCCAAGAAAACAAAGGATTTCTATTTCAGTTATCATTTCGGTTGGGGAGAAATATGTAGCAATAGTCACCGTGGTAATTATGATTTGACCCAACACAGCGACCATTCTAGCGAATTTTTAGGAGTAAAAATAAGGGAAAATAATGAAGACAAAGAGCAAAAAATCATTCCCCAAGTTATTGAAGTTTCCTTTGGAGTAGAAAGATTAATGTTGGCGGTTTTGGAAGATGCTTACCGAGAAGAAATAGTAACTAGTTCTCAATTAACTCGTGAAGTTTTAAGACTTCATCCTCTCTTAGCCCCTTATTTTGTGGCCGTAATTCCTTCAAGAGATTCCTTACGAAAAAAATCCTATGAATTATATTGTGAATTACTGAAAAATCCACTTTTTTCAGTTGCTTATGAAGAGACTGGTAGCATTGGAAATCGCTATCGCCGCCAAGACGCGATTGGAACTTATTATTGTCTAACTGTGGATACTCTAACTGTTAGCGAATTTATAGATGATAAGTCTAATCCTGATTATAACACTGTTACTCTTCGTCATCGCGATACTATGAAACAAGAAGAAAAAAGGATAAATATTGGTAATCTGAAAGACTATTTAAAAAATCAATATCAAAAGTTCAATTTTTAAATAAGTGAATAAAGGAAAGTTAATCGCTGACTACAAATCCACTGCCAAAATCAATATAGCAAAAGAAGAGAATAAAATCTGAGAAGGAAGTGTTGAAGACGGAATTGATGAGTAAAGCAGTTAAGAAAATCCTGAAAAGGGGAGAAATACGAAATTCTGAAAGAAAAAGTATTCCTCGCAGAGGGGAAATTTGATTAGTAGATTATAACTATAAGCCTAAGAAAGGTAAAGAAAGAGAATTAGAGTAGAAATTTATATTAAAAAAATCTGTCCTTCTGTGGCATAGTTAGCAATTGCGCCCAGAATGAATATAATGAAAGGATATAATTGTAGTTCCGTTAAGTAGCCGAGAATTAGAACTAATATAACCCTATGAGTTACTGATTAAGAAAAATAGAGAGAATTGTTTAGAAGTAGACAGCAAAATTCTATTTAATTGCTTGCGGAATATTGAAAAAGATACTCGCTTAGGAAATTACAGGATTGGAATAGTCAGTAAAGAGATTTTAAAAGAACTAACCGAAAAAATAAAATAAAAACTAGTCAACTATTATAATTAACTTAAAATTGACCGAAAATCCTCCGTCTAAACTAGGAGCGTGAATTTCACCACTCCATTCAATCTTTCCGATTAGATAGCCTTTTTTCTCTAATTCACTTAGTATTTCCGCAGTAGAAATTGTAGAGGCAATAATTTTAAAAGAATCTTCGTATCCTTGAGAAATAGTTTTCTTTTTTGTTTCTCTACTTTTTTCTATTTCTTCTTTTATCTTATTTCGAGAGGAGTTAAATTCTTTTCTAAAAAACTCTCTTTCGTCGTCAAAATTATTTATTTCCCCATTTTCCATTGCTAAATTATAATGTGCTTCCCCTTGCATATACTTAATATTCTCTCTAAAAATTTCTTCTTTTTCAGCATTAGACCCAACAAGTCATTGGTTTTTCAGGATTGACTGAGTTACTTTCTTCGCTTTTTGTTCAAAGTTTGCTTTTTCTGAAAGAGCTTCTCTTCCTTTTTTGTCAGTTCACCAGTTCATTAGTCAAATCTTTTAAATCTTGCTCCAACTTATCTATCTCTGCTTTCTCTTTCGCCTCATCTATGCCAAAATTTTCTTTTTCAACTGCTTGAATTTTCTGAAGATATTTTTTACGAAGTTCTATAACGTCTTCAACTGCTTTATAATGATTATCGTTTTCCATAACAATCCCCATTAATTTTCTTTTAAAATCTTGTTGGTCTTTGGGGAAAACTGAAACATCTTGTGAAAAAACTTCTACCTCTAGACTTAATAACTGGTCCGGAGTGATTGAAGAATTAGGATTTGGTGGATTATTTGGTCCATTATTTCCTGGGTCTCTTCTCGGTTTTTCAGGAGGATTGGCACCGCAACTATGAAACACATGCTTGTCCGGTTCTGTCATTATTTCCAACAAAGCAGTCTCGATTTGGCTAACTTGACTGATAAAGTGAACTTGTTTAATTTTTTCGACTACTCTTGTAGGAGTATCATCAAAACTTTCCTCTTTGTTTTGGCTACTTTCATTTTTTTTAGCGAGGATAAAAGTATTTATTCCTTTTCCTACCGAGGCGGCTAATTTATGCTGCAATCCTCCAATTGCTCCTACTTCTTGCCCCTCAATAGTAGCAGTAGAAGCCAGATTTTTGGGCAAGGGAATTTTATTTAAAGCACTATAAAGAGCAAGGTAATGAGCTACCCCTGAGGATGGCCCGGCTCCTTCATGACTACTATTTACACGCAAAATATAAACGTCGTAATTTTTAACTTCCTCTAATCTAGTTGAAGAATTTTTAATTAAGTCTTCCACTATCTTCCGCACAGAATTTTGCTGAGCTTGTTCAATTTTGTCCGGTGGAAAATAGACTGTGGAGGACTGGCTTTTTGAAGGTTTAAGAAAAATCATTAATTCCCGGCTATTCCCGCCCTTTATTTTTCTTTTTTCCCGTCCACCTTCTCAATATTTCTGACTTAAAGCCGAAAGAGCATTAGTTACTCCAATTCTTTCTTGATTATATAAATTAGGGAAATCTTGGTCGAGCAAATTTCATTCTTTTAATTGAACAATATCTAATTCTGAATAACCTTTAGCAATCAATTCCTTGCTTCGGTCTACTTGGTTAATTATCAAATCATTTCTAGCCTTTATGTATTCTTTAAATAATTCTTGAACTGTTTTTACTTCTTTAATTATTTGTAAATATTTCTCCAATAGTTTGTTATAATCTCCTCTGTCTTTGCCTGTCTTTGATCATTTATCAATATCACTTCTGACCCGCTGTCGCGTTTTCTCTAAAAGTGGGGTGTTTTGGCTTTGTAAACCGGCTGTCAAAAAAATCCGGAGTTCATACCAACTCTGCTCAATAATTTCCGGAGAAAGTGAGTTAGGAACCTTTATTGGCACCGGAACATCAGGAGAAGGCGAAAGACTATTCGATAAAAATACCTCCTCTATCTCATCGATATCTCGTTTGGTTCCATTCGAATTAGTAGTTAATTCATTGAAACTATTTTGGTTATCAAGAATACTTCCGATTAACTGAGAAGCCGCTTCCCTAACTTGCTGTCTTTGTTGCTCTCCTAAATTAAACCCTTGGTTGTTGGTACTGCTACCTCTTCTCGCAAACAAAAAAATAGCTCCTATTAGTGCCGTTAGAAGTAATAAACCGCCACCAATATAGATAAATATTAAATTATCTGTTTTTTTTTTTTTTTGAATTTCACTCACGATTCTGCATTTATAACTCTGTTTTACAATTATTTTTGCTAGTTTTTTGAAAAGTTTTAAACTTTTTTTCTCAAAAAAAGAACAGTGTTTTACTTTATGATAAATGTCTGCCAACGTTCCCGAAATTCATATTCATGATAAATTACTTAGGAGGACTAGTTAACGAAACTAAGACGATCATCATCGCCAAAAGAGTGAGAATTATTATCATTCAAAAGAAAAATTTCCCTATGCTCATGTTACATTTATTATTTTTTTGTTAATTACATTTCGTTCTAGTTTACTTTTAGGTAGACCTCACAAAATTTTTCTTAAAAATGTCAACCATAAATATTAAAATGTGCAAAATTTTTGCTCGTTCTTGTAAATTTAACGACCTTTTTTTTGCAAACTTTATTTACATGCCATGTCCCCCGCTACCTATATCCCCTAGTCAAAAAAATATTGCAAAGAATAAAATAAGAAAAAGTATAATAATAGCAATTATTAACTTCGAAACTTTAAAATATAGCAAAAGAAAAAAAAGCGAAAGCAGAAAGGCAAAAAAAATAAAAATTAAAATAATGCTCATTAACTAAATTATTCGACAATGTTCTTTAGATGGAACTTCTATTCTTTCTTCTAGTTCTCGAGAATAATCGCTAGTTTTTCAACCTAATCTATTATTAGTTTCGCTCATTTCACTACTAAGTTTAATTTTACTTCCTTTATTATTGTTTCCTCCACTTGTTGGGTTTCCATTGCTGTCACAACAAATGAAGCAACTAGTGCAAAAACCAGAACCGAAAGGGCGTTCAAAAACTTGCTTAGAATAATTTATACCATAAATAACCATATTGGCAAAATGTTCACAATTCTATTTCGAAAATTATACTGGTCTTCCCGAAAATTATTACCAACAGCCCAAGAAATTTGTTCGGCTATCCTTCGTGGGTTTTTAAAAGGTATCATAGGATGGTATCTAACTATTTTTCTAACCGATCCTTCTAAAAATCCTTCTCAACTAGTAAGTCGGACTCCATTTCTTTCCCGAGAAAAATGGCAAATCCTATCATTTCCACCTATGTCACCTAAATAAATACCAACGTGATAATATCTTACTCCAATAATATTATCAACCAACTTAGTCTGAACAATATCTAAAGGCTTAAAAAATCTGTCCAAATCACTAGGAGTAGTTCCTGAATAAAGATAAATTGGCGAAAGATAAGAGATAGGTCCAATTGCTTCAGCCAAAACATTATTAGAAGTCCCTACTTGACTATTCCTTACATAAGGACTAGCAATTAGGTTATGAAAATATTCTCAACTTTTAGCCTTGGGATGAACCTCTAACATTGGGTAATCATATCAACCATTACTGTTCTGTAATTTTTTTTTTAACTGTTTAACTATTTGTTCTGCCGTTACTAAGTTATTAGTTGCACTGCTTATATTAAGGTCGTACTTAATCACTGCTATATTTTCTCCCATACTCCTTAATACTGGTTCATAAATTACTAATCAAACAGAAAAATTGTTGTTTCGTTCAAGAATTACATATCCACAATTACCATTAAATCAGGTTTCGAAAGTTTCTAATCTATGAATTTCAGAATTAGAAATGCTTTCTTTTCTTCGCAATTTATTTAGGCAATTTTGATGATAAGAACAATAATCCTCCCAAGAAGGATCTGTTTCGTTAGAGCACAGAAATGCTTTGCAACTTACTTCTGGTGTTGTTAAAGTTACTTTGCTAAATACATTCCTAATTTCATCAAGATCATTTTCTAAAATTTGAAAAATTGAATTGAACATGATTTATTATTATTTATGTCTTTTCTGGATAGTATATTATTTTATTAATTTTGACCTAATTAACATTTCGCTCTAAATAACTTTTATCCAGTTCATCCAAAAAAGGAGAATATAACTCTTGGCTACTAACTAAATAAAGTAGTCTTTTGGCTCGCGTAATTCCAACATAGAATAACCTTTTTTCCTCTGTAACATCTTGAGTCTCCCGATAAGGAAGGGTTCCTTGGTCCAAATAAACAAAAAATACTACTTCAAACTCTAAACCTTTGGCCTGGTGAACCGAGGAAAGAATTAGATTATTTCGAGTTTTAATTAGTTTTTTGTCCTCAAAAGCAATTACTAGCCATTGTAAAAAATTATTTAACAATTCATCAAGGTTTATGTATTCTTTACGTCGCTTGTTTTCTCAATTTTGAGCAATATTAAGAAATTGTTGAACGTTTTTTTCTCTTTCGACTGAGTTAACTCTAGTTTTGAGATGCTCTCAATAATTAAAGTCATTAAGTACTCCCAAGAGAAAAGTATAAAGAGAAATTTTCTTGGCTAACTTTGCTTGGTGATTATTGATTTTCAGAACAGCCTCACCAATTTTTTCTACCTGGCCAGTAGCTAATTTATCTTGGCTTAAATCAGCAATAGTGGCAAAATTATTGAGATAATTATATATACTCATCCCCTTTTCTTCACTTTTTTTTTCAATCTTTTCAATTGTGCGGGCTCCAATTTTTTCTTGTAAACTTAACATTCTTAGCAAAGAAAGATTATCCTGATAAATAACAGTACGGCAAATTGCCAAGACATCCTTGATTTCCTCTCGTTCAATAAATTTGAAAGAACCTAATATTTCATAAGGAATCTTTTGGGCAGCCAATTCCATTTCGATACGGCTAGAAAGATAATTGTTTCGATAAAGAATAGCAATATCACTAAATTGAAGTTTTTCTTGCCGTAGTAAATACCGAATTTTATTAACAATAAATCGCACTGAAACCCGAGTAAGCCAATTTATTTTTACTCCTTTCTGTTTGGAAGTGGTTAGCAAATTATTTACTAAACTAGCCTGATTTCTCTCCACAAAAGAGTTAGACAAATGAAGTATATTACCAGTCGAACGATAATTAACGTTTAAATAAATTGTTTTTCATTCTTTGTTATGAGCAAAGGAAGAAATTAGTTGGGGTGTAGCCCCTTGAAAACCATAAATGGCTTGGTTAGGGTCTCCTACTAAAAAAACATTTTGCCCCTTGCTTAAAATTAATTTAATAACCTCTCACTGGATAGCATTAATATCTTGAAACTCGTCCAGCAAGATATGAGTAAACTGTTTCTGATATTCCTCTCGAACGTGGGGATGATGATTAAAAAGAGAGATAGTATAAAGAAGTAAGTCATTAAAATCAAGGGCTTTATTCGCTTTGAGACACTCCTCATATTTTAAGTATATTTCATACCTTTTTTTGGTTAATTCATCAAACTCTAAAGGATCAGTTCCTAACTTACCATTTTTTCAGCCACTAATGCAAGAGATAATAGTATTTATTTCTTTTTTTTCAGTATTATAATTTTCCTGATAAAGCAGTTTGCGAATTATAATTTCCTGCTCATGACGGTCATAAACTGGAAACTTACTTTCCGGAAAGCCTAATAAGTGAGCGTGTTTATTAAGAACTCGGAAGCAAAAAGAGTGAAAATTGTGAATATGAAGGTCCTTAGGAGAAACATCAGTAATATAAGAAAAAACCCGTTTTTTAATTTCTTTAATCGCTTTTTTGGCAAAAGTTAAAACGAGGATATTATGAGGTTGGGCTCTTTGACTGGATAATAGGTGAATAATCCGGCTAACTAGCGTCTTAGTCTTACCACAACCAGGACCGGCGATAACACAAATACGCGGACTTTCTTCATAGACGGCTTGCTTTTGTTGTTCGTTCAGTTCTTGGAAAATTTCTTCCATAATTATTAGTTAGTTTCTGCTTTTTTGTTCATCCACAACTACAAAGTAACTCAATCATGAGCAAAAAGCGGACAAGAGTTTTAAAAAAATTAGTAAACTATTTTCAGTAGAAAAAATTCTAAGAAATAAAAGCATATCTTACATTCTCCTATCTGAATAAGGTAAAACAAAAAATAAATATCCAAAAGCAAATAAAGTAAAGAACGCAATTAAAAATCATTTAATTAATTTCAAATGATAATTATTTTCCTTATTTTGCCTGTTTTTAGATACCTTTCTTTTAAAAGTAGAAAAAAAATAGTAGACAAGTAAAATTCCCGCCACCTCACCAAGAACTAAAAACCCTATTAGAAAGAAATACGTACTTTTCATAATGCTTAAATTACCCTACAATATTCCTTAGGAGGAACTTCTTGTAAATACTGTTCTTGATATTTTTCAGTTTCTCAGTCAGATTTTTCTCCTAACCGGTCATTAGTTTCTCTTATCTCGTTACTCAAACAGATAGAAGTTTTACCATTATTTAAAGTCGCATGATTTTCTATTTGGTCAGCGGTCATGGAAACAGTTGCAGCTGTTGCAACTGCTCCTGGTATTAAAGATAAACCGAAAGTGAAAGGCGCAAATGCTATTGAAGCACTAATAGTAGCTCCACCATAAATCCCTATCCCCGTTGATTGAATAATTGTCTTAGCCGTTAACTCTCCTTCTCTTTCGCGAACTTGTTGAGAAAAATTTATCCCATAAACTAGCATATTGGCAAAGTGTTCACAGTTTCTATTATGCAAATTATAATTTCCTCTCCAAAAACCAATGTCTTTAGTTCAAACCGCTTGTCTATTTACTTCCAAATAACATTTAAAAGGAATAATTGGATGATAGCGAATTATTTCTCTCGTAGTGTTTCTTAAAAAACCATCCCAACTAGTTTTTTCTACTTTATTTTTTTCTCCTGAAAAATGAAAAACAGTGTCGTTACCTAAAAAGAAACCGACATGGTAAAATTCTGTGCCAATCTTTCAATCTACACACTTCACTTGAACAATATCCAAGGGTCTAAAATGTTTATCTAAGTCAGCGGGCGTTGAAGAGTTATAACCAACAAAGAATAAAGGAATATTAATAGTCTTAGTAGAACTTCCTACTTGATTCCTAATGACATAAGGACTATCTACAACCCAACTAAATGGTTTATATTCGTTAGCATAAGGGTAAACAAAAGTTATTGGACTTTGACCAACGGAACCGAATGCTAATTTATCCCTTAGCCATTCTGCTTCGTCTTTTGCTCCGGAAAGAGAAACCCACTTTCCTCTTCCCCGGACTTTTCCTCAATAACTACAATCCTTATCAACTGGAAATACTACCGGTTGGTAAGTGCTGTAAACTGAATCATAAACTAATAAGAATACCCTATAATAACTATCATAATAAGCAATAACAGTAGCAATATTATTACTTCATGAAGTGCTAAATCTTTCTACTTCTTCTATATAGCCCGGAATAGATGTTCTTTCCTTTGCTAGTTCTTTGTATCTCCCTTTTTGACTATCAGTATAGATTAAAGTAAATTTATCACATCTTCAGCACCTTATGTCTCGTCGATAAGTTGCTTCAGTTGGTTTATAATTTTGATGTTCCGCCCAACTATCTTCATATGACTTACAATTATTACAGTATCAACTCCCCATAATATAATATTTTACTAAAACTATGAAAGTCCCTAAGAAGATTTCTTTCCAGTTAACTGCGAAACTGCTTGGGCCAAAATGATACCGCAACTAACCGAAATATTTAAAGAAGACATATTATTATTCATTGGTATATAAAGAGAATAATCACTCTTTTTAATTAAACTTTTTCTAATCCCATCATGTTCATTACCAAAAATTAAGCAAGTAGGAAAGTCAAAAACGAACTTACTATAATCTCAGGACTCTGTCTGACAAACAGTAGAAATAATTTTGTAGCCTTTTTTTTTTGATTCGTTAATTGTTTCTCCTAAACTATTTACTTGGCAGACAGGAACATAAGCTACGCCACCCATCGAAACTTTAACTACCGTACTGTTAACTGGCACCTGATTTTTTTTAGCAATAATTACCCCATCAACTTTTAAAGCAGCACAGGTTCGCAAAATTGCCCCAAAATTGTGGGGGTCTTCGATTGAATCAAGCATGACAAGTAAGGGAAATTTTCGTTGTGGTTGGCACGACAACAAAGGAGGAAGTTCTGCATAAACATAATTACGAATAAAAGCAACTATTCCTTGATTTTTTTTATCAAAATTGTAACGAGAGAATTGCTCTTTACTTAATAATTGATAAGGTATTTGCCTTTTTGCTAGTAGTTGTAATAACCCTTTATCCTGATGATGCTCGGTTCGCAGAAAGATTTTTTTAAAAGTAAAATAAGGAGAGTTAATTAAATTAAAAACAGTATGTTTACCAAAAGCAAGAAAAGTCATATTCTTAATTTTTATTTAAAGTCTCTTTCTTAAAAATTGTTTTTTGGTGAAAAATTATATTAGTATGCATATACCTTAAATTACTTTATAATTACAAAAGAGCAACAATAAAAATGAAAATAAAGGAATGTTTGAAAAGTAAAACCACTTGCCCTTAGAAAAGAAAAGAAAGTAAATAGAGTAAAAGAGATGAAAATGAAGAAAAAGCACCTGAACCATAAAAACCCACAGCAAATCCAGCTTTATCATGTCTTCAATAAAAAACCATTAACAAAAAGTAAATAAAAATAACAAAAGATAAAAAGAAAAAGGAATAAAAAACCCTTTTTTTAAACTTTTTAGGTAAAAACAGAGTGAGGGGAAAATAAACCCAGGGGATTATCAATAATGTTCAAAACAACGACCAAGGCATATTACATTGTCCATTTATTACAACTTCAACACCTTATATCTCGGCGGTGGGTTTCATTGGGTTTATGACTTTGATATTCGGCTCAACTATCTTCATATGAATTACAATTATTACAGTACCAGTTTCCCATGATGTAGTATTTTACTAAAATTAACTTAAAAGACTATAAATAATTTCGCATATTGTAATATATAAAAAATGAATAAATAAAAATCACACTAAGAAGAATTTTTTCTATAAAATTATAATGTAAATTAGATTATTATTTTTTTGTAGGAGATAATTATTAAAATAAATTAATAATATAATAAAATGCCTATGGTCAAAACGAAAGAGAGATACCTAATAAGTATAATATTCTAAACTAATTACTGCCTTATTAGGTATACACTGACTTAATTGTCTTAGTAGTAATTGTAAAAACAGTTCATTAATTAATACTAATTCTGTTTAAAAATTAGTAAAAAAATATAAAAATAAAAAGTAAATAATAAAATATTTAAAAATTATGACATATTGAAGAACATATAGAATAACAAGTGTATATAGAAGTAGTAATTATATTAGATTTTCTTTAGATGGTTATGTTAGTTATAGTGGAGGTAGTGAAAAATATATTGATACTAAAACTTACTATCCTTTTTGTAATTGGCATGAATGTAATTATTTAGAAATCGATAATGACCAAACTCGTTATAATAGTAGCGGATATGAATATACCAATACTAGTTATGTGAGACTTAGTGGTTGTCATCATGGTTGTCATGGTCATTGTGATCATGGAACATCTGAGGCATTGAGAGCATCTGAAAGCAGAAATAGCACTTTAACTTCGGAAAATACTCGACTAAATAATGAGTTATCGAGCAAAAGCACGGAGATAGGTATAAAAACCGAGCAACTTAAATCTGTTAATAAAGATTTGACAGATACTAAGAATCGGTTGACTAAGACAGAAGATAAATTAACAAAAACTGAAAAAGATTTGGAAGATTTAAATGTTTCACTTTCTAATTTAAGAATTGTGAATAGTAATAAGGGCAAATATATTGAAGGTTTGGAAAAAAGGTTAGGTGAAAAGGAGGATGAAAACTTTGATCTTAAAACAAAGGAGCAGGAAAAAAAGTTAGATGAGTTTGTTCAGCAATTAGGAATTGACCGTGAAAAACCTCGTAAATTAATCAGAGCACATCAGCGATTAATTAGAGCCAGTTCTCGTGAGGATTATAACCGGAATGATAAAATGGATGCAGAAGATGATATTGAAACAATTAAAGATGAACTTTTGAGTAGTGGATGATTTAAAAGAGGAATTAGTTTAGAAAATGTTCAAAAACTTTGCAAGAAGTGTGAAAGAATTGCTGAATTAAAGGAAGGAAAAGAAAAGGCACGAGAGGAAATGTATCAGGAACGAAAACGAATACAACATCAAGAGCATCAATACCTAATTCAACAAGCACAAGAACAAGAGCGTCAAAATCAGCAAGAACAGCCTGAACAACAATACGAAGCTCAACAAGAGCAACCAACTAATAATAATTAAAAAATATATACAATACTATGTTAACTACACACGAAAAACAAAAATACTGTAATATTTTACAAGTCGGACTTGATGCTAGCCAAGAAGAAATAGCGAAAGCCTACAAAAAAATGGCTTTAAAGTATCACCCTGACCGAAATCATGGTAAAGAGGAATGAGCCAAACAAGAGTTTATCAAAGTTGGTGAAGCATATAGTGTTTTATCAGGTAAACAAGAGTCTGGATCTTCTAACAAATTTAGTTCAGATGCTGAATTTGAAAAGTTTAAAGAAATGTTTGAAGAGGTAGAAAGGGAATTTAAGGAGACAAAAAGGGAATTTTATGAGTATAAAGAAAATAAAAAACAGGAAGACAAAGCAGCTCGAAGTAAAGCTATACGGGATATTGAAGAAGCTCTGACCTTATCTAATGTATCTATTTCTGAGTTGGATTCTAGTTTATGGTCTCCTTATAGTGATTGAAAAGAAAAACTTGAAAACTCTGTTGGCAGTGGTATAGATGTTTTTTCAGGTGATATGAGGATTGATATCAATAGGGCAAAGCGAGCGAAAATCAATAATAGTGGTTCTGGACAAAGGGGTTACACTCATGGCAGTTATTCAGAGGAAAGTCACGATAATCGAGGAAGGTATGGTGATTATGATAAACCTCTGCCAAACTTTTCGGATAGAAACTTTTCTCCGTATTATAATGAATGAACTGGCGAAGGCAAACCTTCAGCTAGTGGTGATGAGATTGCAAAATTAAAAGATCAAATTGAATGAAATAAGAGATGTCTGTCTGGATTTACTTCCAAGTCAGAAAAACAAAAATGTCGGCAGGAGATTGCTGAATTAGAAGGAAGATTGAAAGAATTGCAGAAAGAAGACAATTCTAATCAACCTAATTTTAGTGGTTCAAGTAGTTATAGTAATGATAGTGATAATAAAAATGAAACAATAGAACAATTGAAAGCCAAAATCGAACAGTCGAAAAATAATAAAAGATGAAGGCTATGATCATCAAAGGAAGACAAAAAATTAGCCGAAATGGAGCAAAGATTGTCTGAATTGGAGAGTAATAATAGTAATAATGAGGATGATAACTCTTACATTTATTTAAGCCGAAAGCAGTTAGAACAGATAGTTGATGAAGCTACCAAGAAGGCAAAATCTGAAGATAAAGGACAATTTGATGAGATAAAAGGAGTGGTGCAACAATTGGAAGAGGAAGTTGAGAGATTAAGAGCAGAAGTTCAAGAGTTGAAAAAAGAAAGGAGTGATAATAATTCTGGATATTCAGAATTTTCAGATTATTATTTAGTCAAAAAAGAAAGTGAATTAAAATATAAAGAAAAGAAATTAGAACAGTTAAAAGAACTTTCTAACTCTAACTCTAACTCTAACTCTAATTTTCCAACTGATTTAATAATTGGTGGAGGAGTTTTATTAGCAGTAATAGGATTAGGAGCATTATTAGTAGTAATTAATAAGAGAAGAAAGAAAATATTAAAAATTAAGAAAAAGGGAGACTAAAAACTCCCTTTTTTTAATGTGTAAGTAACATTTTTATATCATTATATTAAAGAATAATATGATAAATATCCAAGAGTGACTAACTAATAAATACAATAAATTTGAAGAAAAAATGATAGTAATCACTATTTCCGAAGATTTTCAAAACATTACTACGGATAGTTTAATTATTAGTGATTGATCTAACTTGGAAGAAATTTCCTTTTTAAGTTTGCTTAATCCTCCTCATGATGGTGCTAAAGCTAAAGTTGAACTTTATTTAGAAAAGCATAAAAAAACTCTAAATCATTTAGTTATTAACAACTGTCCCCAACTTAGTAAAATAATCAGCCATTATATTATGCAGATTGAACAATTTTCATTAACTAATTGTCCTCAATTATGTTCTCTTCATTTTAGTATGGTTGGTTTAAGAAGGATAACTGTTAAAGAATGCCCTAATCTTAATTGTTTAAATTTAGCAGGCAATGAGTTGACTAAATTAGATCTAAAAGAATTGTCAGAATTAAAGTGGTTAATTGTGAATGATAATCAATTAAAGGAGTTAGATATTAGCAAGAATACTAAATTAAGAAAATTTGTTTGTGACAATAATGTTCAACCGATTAAAACTTTGCAACAAAAAGAAGAAAGACTAATTACTGATCTGAATAATTTAAAAGAGTCTTTAGGTAAAGCAAGAGAAGAAATTATTGAATACAGACTTAAAAGTAAGGAAGAAAAATTAGATGATTTTGTCCAAAAATTAAAAATTAATCGTGAAAAAGTTCGTGATTTAATTAAGGCTTATAAAAAACTTGTTAAAACACAAATGCAAGAAAATTTTAATTACAATGTTGTTATGTCAATGGAAGATGAAATTGAAAAAATTAGGGATGAATTACTAAATAGTAGGTGGTTCATTTGAAAAATTAGTTTGGAGGATACTCAGAAACTTTGCAATAAGTGCGAAAGAGTTGCTAAACTGCGGGTAGAACTAGAAGAGTTGTATCAAAGGCAATTTGAGCAAAGACAAGAAATTCCTCCTCATCAGCATTAGAGAACTTTGCTGATAAGATTCGTTTCTCTGAAAAAAATCTAATAGTGCTGTAAACAATTTATTGGCAGAGGGACTTTATTAATAATAATAGGATTAATAGAGCAATGTCAATTGTAGGTAATTATTAACTAAATAGGGAGTTATATACTCCTCAAAAATAAACTTAAAAATATAGAGTTTTTAATCTTTTTACTCCTTGAAGAATAAAGATAAAATTATAAAATAGAACAAAATTACACAATAAAAAATGTCATGACAGGGAATATCCAATTAAAGAGAATTGAAGTTAATCAATTAACTAATTTAGATGGTTTTGCAACCAGAAATTATGTTATTAATGCTTTAAAAACAGAGTTGGACAAAAATAAAGAAGTAGAAAACAAAAATAATGTAGTTGGAAATTGAGTACTAGGTTACGAAGGAGATTTAAGAAATTCTATTGATCTTTTAAATGTTTTTCCAATTGGTTTGGTATGGTGAACAGAGGGAAATAAGAAAACTTGTCTTGAAAACGGCAATCTTTTTTTAGAAGTTATTTATGCTTGTAAAAAAAAAAATCAAGAAATTTTGATAGAGAATAATTTAATCTCAGAAGAAATTTAAGTGCTTCTTGCCAAACAAGATTGAACTTTATAAACTAGAAAAACATTTAACTATCTTGCAAAGTGAACAGCAAGTTCAAGTTATTCAGCTTTCCTCTTAGTTTATGGTAAACAAAGTTACAAGAATTATCTAACAAGGTATGAAGTAATTAAGTAATGCAAAATAATAGTTCAACTCTTTCCTTATATTGGATAATAACCTTTTTATAGTTTTGCTTGCTTGGATTTTTGTAAATTTGTTAGCACAAAAAAAAAAAAAAAAAAGTGTAATTAAAGTAATGTTTTATGTCATATATATTCATTAAAAATATAATAAATTACAATACAATAAAATACACAATTAATTCAGAAAGTAGTAGTTTAACCTACCGAAACTTTATAGAACTTTTAAAGGCAAAAGATAAAAATTTTTTAAGGACATTCAGAGATGAATTAAATAGAGCATCAGTAGATTTTCCTGGTTATTTTTGAGAGTGTGTTCCGGTATCTATTAACACGATTAACAAACCATTTGAGTTTGTATTGGTTAATTCGGGGGCATTAAACAATATTCGAGAAGATTACCACAGTTTCCAAGAACATTTTGGAAAAAACAATAACAGCCAAGTAGTAAGTTTTTTAAGTTTTAGCGGTGATACACTAATTGTCCCTATTCCAAAAGGTTCTGATTATAAAAACATTAACAAGTTCGCTGAAAATACCCAATTAGAGCAATGGGAGGCCCTTTGACAAAAAGTTGGTGAAAAGATAGAGGAAAACTTAATTAATGCTAATGGTGCTACTCGTTGGTTATCTACTAGTGGTTTAGGTATTTATTATTTACATATTAGAATTGATAAAAGACCTAAATACTATAACTATCAAGAGTATTTAAATGAAACTCAGGAATACCAAGAAATTCCGTCTAAATAACATGTTTTATAAAATGTAGAATATGCCAAAACAAAGTTCATATTTAATAGAAAACAAAAAGCCTTTTGAAATAGTTTATGAGTTAAAAAATTATGAAGTAAAAAAATCTTCTTTATCTCTTTCTGCTAGAAGTAAAGTAATTGATAAAAGTGGCAGCAATTATTTAAGTGAAAATAGGGAAGATTATGGTCCAGGTAGAAAAAATTTTGACCAACTTTATAGACGTATGAGAAATGCGTTAAGAGCGAAACCTACTTGTAAAATTTCAGGACATAGCGATTCTTTTGACGAAGGCAAGGATTATGCTGGAATGATTGTCTATGCGATTGATAACGAATTTTCTTGAACTAATGAAGGTGGCTCATTAGAGGGGTATAGAGGAAAGGCTTTTTATGTCATAATCCAATGCACTAATGATTGACCAGACGATGTCCTTAGAGATGTAGGAAATGGTCGTGTTCATCACTATCTTATTGAGAATTCTTTAGGTTATGAATATGAGCAGGACGTTGTTTGTTGTGGTGGTTTTTCATATCATGAAGGAGAATTAAAATATAGTAGCATTTGACTAAATGCGAGAAACCAGAGAGGATGTAAAACTGACGGCTCGAGATATTTAAACAAGGTAGAAAAGAAATTAGTGAAATACTGTTTTAAAAAATACAAAGAGGAAGGTCCGGGTGGAGTTTTTGAGATTCCGGGTTGACTTGACAGCGAACTTTGGGGATAAAGAAATATTAAGATTTACAAAAATCCCTTCTTTCTTTAACTTTTTAATGTAAAATGTATAATATAATTGCATAATATGTTATTGAAGATACTTTTATGACTTTTGGGAATAATAATCGTATTTTGTTCTTTTTTTTTTGGTGAGGAGGATAGTTTTTCTCCCGCCCAAGAAAAAAAAGAGAATATTCATAAAGCCACTCATTTTACTAAATTAACTAATCTTATTCGTAATGTTTATATAGTATTGATAGCATTATTTGTCTCTTTCACTTTTTTGCTATAAGTATAACTAGCATTAATTTGCTAATAAAACAGAAGATTTAAGAAAATTAAATAAACTAAAATTAATTGAAAAATACCAACTAGAAAAGAATTGATTTAAAATTACTAATATATTTTATGGAATTAACTGTTATTAAAAGTTCACCCCTTGCTATTTCACCTCAGAAAATGAATCTGGTAGCCGGTTTAATTAGAAAGAAAAAGTTAGATTACTCTCTTGATTTGCTTTCTTTTTTACCAAAAAAGGGTGGTCGAATGCTTTACAAAATATTACAAGGAGCAGCAAAGAATTTGGAGAAAGAGAAGCAAGAGACCAAAAATTTTTATTTAACTAAAATTGAAGTAAACCGAGGTAAGATCCAAAAGCGGATTATGTATCGGGCTAAAGGTCGTGCTGATCGAATAAGAAAGAGATATTGTTTAGTCAATTTATACTTATCAAAAAAAGAAGTAACAGCAAAAACTGACCCTAAAATTAACCAGCGAAAGGAGTCAAATTCATCTGAATCGGAAAGACAAATGAAAAAATAAAGAGAGGAAGAAAAATAATCCACAAAAATCCGAGAATAGGGTTTATTTTTTCTTCTAGTTGCAGTTATCTTTTTCTGGGAAAAGAGAAGCAAGAAATCAAATACCACCTCAGCAATCAAAAATATGTTATATGAAAATCAAAAATGAAAAAGGAATTAAATGAATTTCTTGTGATAATTTGGGAGAACTAATAGGAGAATTCAAAAAATTCCGAACGGCTCAAATTGATGCTGGCCAGAAAAGAAAATGAGAAGATTACTTTTTTCTTCAATTGATGTTCAAATTTATCGAAGTTGAAGGAGAAGATAGAAGAGTAAGTGATGAAATAGCCGGGTTAAATGTCTTTCAAGAAGATGGAATAGATTTATCTTTAAATCTTTCTCCTTTCAGACTAAAGGAAGAGGTTTGAAAACCTTATGGAGAAAAAGTAAAAAAAATTCTAAAAGAAATTTGAGAAACCGGTGAAGTAAAAGATTACCAAGGTTTGTATTTAGACTGACCTGTACAAGGCACTGGCTTTTATTGTGATCAATGTAGAAAAAAGATAGAAAAAAGGGAACTAGCCTATTTTAGCGATAGTGAAAAAAATTTAGACTTTTGCTCCCAAGATTGCTACTATAAATTCAAAGGAATTAATGTCTCAGAAGAAGGAAATAACGGCAAAAAAATCTGAATAATAATCTCCGTTTTGATAATTATCATCCTTGTCCTTATTCTTTTTTGATTTTCTTGGCTAAAAATTAAAAAACCTAAAAAACTTTAATGACCTTTCCTAATAAGCCCCGGGGTACTCAGGATATTTATCCTCCTCGCTCCCTAATTTACCAAAAAATTCAACAAATAGTTACTGAAATATTACGTAAAAATAATTACCGACCAATAATTTTTCCTACTTTTGAGGCCAAAGAATTGTTCACTAATTCTTTAGGTTCTACTACTGATATTATTCACAAGGAAATGTATACTTTTTTGGACAAAAAGGGGCGAGAATTAGCTCTGCGGCCAGAGGGAACTGCCAGCACAGCACGTTTAGTCCGTGAAAATATTTTAATTAAAGAAAGTTACCCCTCGAAGTTTTATTATTGGGCTAATATGTTCCGTTATGAACGTCCCCAAAAAGGAAGATATCGGGAATTTTGGCAGTTAGGGGTGGAACTAGTTAATGCTAAGGGAGCCATTGCTGACTTTCAAATATTAAAATTAGTTTCTGATATCTTGAAAGGTTTAGGAATTAAAGAGTTTCTTTTCAAATTAAATTATCTGGGAGACAGCCAAGCGAAGAAGAAATATAAAAATGAACTAGAAAATTTTGTTGGAAAAATTAGCAAATCCTTGTGTAATAATTGCCAAAGAAGATATAAAACTAATCCATTGAGAATACTTGACTGCCTGTTATGTAAAGAAGAATATCTATTTCCTCCTTATAAGAATGTTTGGAATGAGAAAGATAATAGTTATGTGAAAGGAGTTAATCAGTTTCTTGACAAATTTAACCTACCTTATGAATATGATTATTGCCTAGTACGTGGACTAGATTATTATACAGGCTTAGTTTTTGAAGTGGATTTAGGAACTGAAAAATCATTACTAGGTGGCGGTCGTTATGACAAACTTTATAAAGAGATAGGAAATGCCGATTTACCAGCAATCGGCTTTGCAATAGGAGTTGAAAGGTTAGTAGATTATTTGGAAAAAAAAGATTTAGTGAAAATCGACAATAAGGTTGACGTTTTCTTTTTGACGAGTGTTTTTGACACTTATGCTTATTGAAATATACTAATTTGAAAATCAGAACTAGAAAAATATCCGTTAACAGTAGACTATAATTTAGAAGTTAAAAAATTAAAAAATCTATCAAAGATTATTGATTATTATCAAGTAAAAATATTAGTTATATTAGGAGAAAAAGAATTGAAAAATGGAAAAATTTTAATAAAAGATTGTCAGAAAAGGCAAGACTTCTTGGTAGAAAGTCAGAAAGTAGTAGAGTGGATTAATAACTATTTAACGGGAATAAGTGACTAAAATAATTACAGACATAAATCTCTGCTGGAAAAACTCCACCTTTTTATAATATTAATTTTTACTTTTTAAATTGTCTGCTGAAAAGGAGCAGTGAGTTCCATATTACTCATTGCCTCTTTATAAAGAGTTTCTTTTCTCTTAAAGGCCTCGCCTGATTTATTATAAGCACTCTTGATTTCCTCGGCCAAGTTTTTAAACATCTCAAAATACAGATGTGGAGTATTTCCTGCTTTCTTTCTTCTTTCCTCTCTTTTTTTTTCTCTTCTCTCTTCTGCTCCTTCTACCAATCATCTCAAAGCTATTTTTAAAGCTCGAACTTCGTCAATTGTTTTAGGAACGCGGCTACTTGTAGAACCTCTTTTTACTCTTTTCATTTCTATACCCGGTTTAATATTGGCCAAAGCTCCTTCCAAAACAGTTAAAAAAGGCGAAGAAGAGGTTTTTAATAGTTCGGAAGCGGAATCGATCTCCACTACCTGGTCTACTAATTCATTTTTTTTCTCTTCTAGCGGATTTTTTTCCTCTGATTTTTTCGATTCGGTTTCCTTTTCGGTAACTAGTTTTTCTTTTTTTTGTTTAGTTTGTTTCTCCTTAAATCATTTTTCAATTATCTCAGCAGCCTGGTAAACTATCCGCATAGCTATTCGTTTTTCTCCTTTTTCCATGACTTTGTTAATTAATTGAGTCACAATAGTAGAATTAAATTTTTTATCCGGTTTAATAGAACGTCTTTCGATTACTCTTTTTTTTCTCATTAGTTGCTATATTAATATTTTTTTATATCTTTTGAACTATGATGAGTAAAAATATTCCTTAACTAATTCTCGGGCTAAATTGCAGGTTAAACCTTTTCTCTGATTTTATATTTTGTTCTCTTAATGACTTTTCTTCGAACTTTGGTTAAGGTGCGCTACCTAAAAAGTAAAAAGGAGGGATAGAAATGAAAAACTAGAAAATTAATTTAGTGTAAAATAGTATATTAACCCCAAAAAATCTCCTCTTTGTTTGTAATTTTTACCTCTTATGACTTGGAATAGTAGGTTCTAATTATTTAAGTTGAAAATCAATGAAAAATAATTTTAAAGTTCATGAATAAAAAAAAGATTACGATGACCATTGACCCCTCTGGTAAAGGAACTACTGGTATATGTTTAATTGGGGGTAGAATTCTCAACATTAACTTTTTAGAATATCAAAGTGATAATTGAGAAGAACACTTAAAATTTATTGTAGAAACAGTGAAAAAATGAAAGCCTGAAATAATTATTTATGAAACTACTAATTATGTGCACAAAAAAATACCCGGAACCTTAACTTTGCTGAAATTAATTGGTGGCATTGTTGGAATAAAATATACTTTTGACTTCGTTAGGGAGTTAAATAGTGTAGCCGTTAATCAAGTAAAGCCTTTTAAGGATAAACTATTTGCTGGTCAGGAGCAATTAGAGAATCTAACTTGTAAACCTGGTCGAGGTAAGGGATGGAGATATAAACGAAGAAAAATTAGTTTGCATCAACTAGATGCCCTCGTAATTTATCATCTGTGGAGCGGAGGTGCTTTAGAAAGTAAAAGAAGTATTCGAAGGAAAATAGTTGAACTACGAGGAAAAAAAAGGTTGGGTGTTAGGCAAAAAGAAAAATTGATAAAGTTAGAAAAACTTCTTAAAGAAAAATCACAAGATGTTATTAGGTAATCAAGAATATATTTCTATTCAGTTTCCTAAGCATTTTTTCAAAATCAGCGCCAGATTTTTAATAAAATTTAATATTAATTCTCTAAAACAAAACAACTTTTAAAAGTTTTAGTTAAGCCTAATTTCTGTAATCCCATTGTTAACGCTTCCTCAATAACTCTTTTTATTTTTTCAGACCTCTGTTAAGCAATAACAACTTTTTATCATACTGAAATAATTTATATTCAAATGTTAGTGATTGATTTTAGAATTATTGCTATTTATTAATTTTCCCCTATTATTCTAAAGAAGTGCTTTATATAGTTTTTTTAATAATTAGTTTATAAAAATTGTCTATAAATATTTATATAATTATATATGGTAACCCTTTCTTACTGAAACTTATTTTGTATATTATTAGGGAGTTTCATAGTAGGAGCAGTCCTTGCCTATTTTTTCCAGAAAGTAGTAAAAATTTTATTCTTTTTCGGAATAGGAATAATAGTGCTAATTAAAGTATTTGAATGGATGAAAGGGAGACAATAAACAGCAAAGTTAATTAGAAAAATATTCTTTTCATAATTCTCGTCCACTTTTTCACCCTCATTAAAATTGCTTCGTAATTATGAAATTACCAAAAAGCGGAAAATAAATTTAAAAAATGTAGCAGTTTTCATTTTTGCAAAGGTATTTATTTCTCTCCTCCTTTATCTAGTCCTAATTTTTTAATTACTTTTTCAGCAGCTTTTTGCTCAGCTTCTTGCTTACTTTTTCCCTCACCCCATTCGCAAAAAATTCTTAATCGGTCACGGACCTCCATAATAAACAATTGCTGCCTTCCTTCTCTCCTTCTTGCTTTTTCCCGGTAACTGACTAAATTTTTTTGGGCCTGGCAATATTCTTGTAATTTACTTTTATAGTCTCAAGTCATATTTTCCCGACCCTTAACTCAGGTAAAAAGAGATAATTTTAGAAAACGTTCTGTTGCTTTTGTTCCTTTTTCTAGGTACAAGGCAGCTACAAAAGATTCAAACACATCTGCTAAAATACTCGTTTTATCAGCTCCTTGGTTTTTTATTTCCCCTTCTCCTAATCTTAAGTATTCAAGTTTTCCGTTTTCATCTATTCTGTTTAGCCCTATTTCTCTGCTCAAATGAGCCAAAGTACTTTCTTGAACCATTAGTTGTTTTAGTTTGCTCATTTGCCCTTCAGAATATTTCGGAAAAGAACGGTAAATAAATAAACTAGTGTAGAAATTTAAAATACTATCCCCTAAAAATTCTAAGTTTTCATAGGAATTAATTAGGTTATTTTCGTTGCAGTAAGAAGTGTGAGTTAAAGCCTGTCGAAAATTCTCGCTATCTTGAATGCTTTCGATAATTTTTTTGATTGATGATTTATGCTTATTGGCTAGTTCCATTGATGTAACTTATCCCTATTTGCTTTAAATAAGGAGTGAGTAGGTAGTAGTTCCATTTACTTAAATAGCAATTGACTACATAAACAACTTCCTCCTTTCCTTTATTTTTTCGATAAATTTTCTCAAAAGTTGGGGAATGTTTGGCTAGCAATTCCAAGCCTTTTTTTTGCTCTTCTTCTGTTAGACAATATAGTTTAAGAGAAACAAGTTGGTCCCGCGGAAAGATTTGGCTAATGAGAAAAGAGGAGAGAAATATATATACCAATGTTGCTCATAACTTTTCATTATTAGTAATATACGAGAAATATTTTCCTAAAATACTCCTTTTTTGCTCCTCCTCTAGTTGTTTTTTTCTCTTTTCTAAATCATTTCTTCGATGTAAAACTTCTTCTAAATCTTCTTCTGACAAAGTTTTTCTATTTTTGTCAATTTCGATTATCTCATCTTCCATCTTCTCTATTCTTTTTATGTCGTTTGCTAGATAATAATCTACCTCTTGGGGGTATTTTTCGAGTTGTGAATCACTTAAATCCCCTATTTTATTTTTAAGGATAGAAGTAATCAATGAATTTTTTTCTTTAATTTTAATGTTCTCTTCTTTTTTACCTTTTTCTTTACTTTGTAGTTTGAATTTTTCAATATCCCTTTTTCACTCATCAATAGCATCTTTTATTCCATCTTTTGCTTCTAGTTTTTCTATTTTTTCTCTTTTGACTCTCTCTTCTCCTTCAGTTTTCTCCAAAACTTCTATTATATCTTTTTTTAAAATACTCTCCTTCATTTTAGGACTGTCTTCTATTCAAGTAAAATTAACCAAAGTAACTGCAAAGATTACGCCAATTCCAAAAACTTTCATTAAGGAACTGATTGAAAACTTGCTTTTTTCTTTTTCTTTTTGGGAGGAAAAGTGAGAAGTAAAAATTTCTAATCCTCCTGGAGTGGCTTGGGCTCGAAAAATTAAACTATAGCCATAAGTGTGAATAATAGCCGCAAGAATGGCAATAACTATATAATAAGGTAAAGTAAAAGATAACTGACTGCTAGTACTCAAACCTTGTCAACTACTAGGATTGAAGCGACTAAAAATATATTCCTTTAAATGAGTAACTTTAAATATTTGGGTTCAAATGATTTGAGCGATGACATAAAAAATCGAAGTGCTAATTATTTCTAACTTGGCTTTGAAAAAAAGTCTTAAAAAAAGGATAAAAAGAAGGTTAGTTAATAATCCCAATCCATAGTAAAGAAAATAATATCAGCCTCAGCCGATTCTGGTATGGCCAACTATCAGTTTGGAAAAACTCTGAATTAACCCATTTAATCCACTATTGTAAATACCATTTGGATCGATTAAAAAGTAAAAGGTAAGAGTAGTAAAAAAAGCTCCTGCAAAGACAATAGCCAATTTGTTTAAATATTTTAAAGTCAACTGTTTTCCGGTAGGCCTTTTTAAAGGTTTTTCCAAGTAAAGTTGCCGGATAAAAGCATTATATTGCCCCCAAATGTTATAAGTTTCTTGGTCGCTTGTTTTGCTTTTTATATCTAAAACTTTACTCTTTTTTTTCATTTTCCTTAATCTTTATCCTAATGGAAACGTATAAGGGGAAAACTGGTTAATGAAAATATAATTAATCTCTGCCTTTTGTAGCGAATTTCTCTGGAGAAGTATTTCTGCTAAAAGTTTTAGAATCCTTTTTTTTCTATAAAGTATATTTTTAACTTTTTTTCAACACTGATTGAGTATTTTTTCCCTTTCATTTTCAATTTTTTGCTTAGTTGTTTCAGGTAACTCAGGAGGAACTTCTTCACCAAAAAAAAAAGATTCTTGCGTAGGAATAATTCCTAAATCAGACATCCCATAATGCAAAATTAATTCTCGGATAATACTACTTGCTTTTTTGAAATCATCGTAAGCTCCCATGGTGATGTAATCTAGACCAAAAACTATTTCTTCACTGGCTCTACCCCCTAAGTAAGACATGACATGAGCTAACATTTGGCTTTTGTTAAGCAAACGGTCATCGCCCTCTTCACCATACAAATCTATTCAAGTATAACCTCCAGCTGACAAGCGAGGGATAATAGTAATCTTTTTAACGATTGTTTCGGGAAGGCTTAGACCAATGATAGCATGTCCAGCTTCATGAAAAGCTATTATTCTTTTCTTTTCCGGAGTAATAGTTAGGCTAGTTAAAGAAGGACCCATCAGGACCCGATCATAGGCCTCGAAAATCATTTCTTGATCAATGCTTTTTTTTCCGTAGCGAATGCTTAGAATAGAAGCCTCATTAAACATGTTAACTATTTGGGCACCACTTAAACCCCGAGTCATGGAGACAATTTCCTCTAAATCAAGATCAGGTTGGAAATTGAATTTTCGGGTGTGGAGATAAATTATTTCTCTCCTTCCTTTCATATTGGGAAGGGGTATATAGATTTGGCGGTCGAAACGACCAGGGCGCAAAAGAGCGCTATCTAAAACTCTCAAGGAATTAGTGGCCGCTAAGATGATGATATTATTGCGAGAATGAAATCCGTCTAATTCACTTAGCAACTGATTTAAAGTAAGTTCGGTGTGATTATTATTGGCAGAATATCTTTTCCGTCCTATTGAGTCGATTTCATCAATAAAAATAATGCAACCTTGTTCAAAACTTCGAGCTTGATGAAAAAGTTCGCGAACCCGCCGAGCCCCCATTCCAACTACCATTTCTTCGAATTCTGAACCAGAGCGAGCAAGAAAAGGCACATTGCATTCTCCTGCTAAGGCTTTGGCTAGTAAAGTTTTACCATTTCCAGGTGGCCCTACTAGCAAAATACCTTTAGGGACTCTGGCCCCTCGTTGTCAAAATGACTGAGGATTATGAAAATAAGAAACTATTTCGCCCAATTCTTCTTTGGCTTCATGCAGACCTCCTATATCTTTAAACCCTACCTGAGGAATATTGATTCTCCTCTCTTCGCTCCTCCAGATCCGAAAAGGGTAGGTAAGTAGACCGATAATGTTGGTGCCAAAAAGACTGTCAACAACATAAACAGAGATAAAAATGGAAATTATGTAGAACGCATAAACGAGTAAATTTCCAAAATTTCACCCCTCCTTAGAAAATACGTCGGCTCTAATGAATGGTTTGATTTCGGTAATTTCTATATCCCTACTTTTTGAAGAACCTTCAAATTCAATTTTTTTTTTTCTTACTTCGTGGTCTGCAAGTGTGCTAACAGACAAGTAAATAGTTGGTCTTCCTAACAATCAATTAAAGAAACTCTTGCTCTCTCCATACAAACGATATTGAAAATTATTGACATGGTAGTCAGAAAAGTCTGCTCCTCTCTTCCAGTCTATTTTGTCAATTTCCTCATCTTTCAAACCATAAATTACTATCTTGTCATCATTTTCTTTCTTTCTTAAAGTAAAATTTTTAGTATCAGGGGAGGAAAAATTTCAAACTAGGAGTACTACTACTACAAAAAGCAAGAAAAGCATAATTATTCTTGCTTTAACCCTTTTTCCTTGTAGAGAACTAATTTTGCTTTTCGTTTTTTGTTCTTCTCTCATTAAAAATTAGTTATTAATTATTTTTAGGTAAAATGGTTGCTTGGTTGTCGGATTTAATTATCTGAAATTTACTTCCTAGTTCTATAATTATTTTATTTTTTTTGCTAATAAACAATTGTTTATAAATCTCAAGCAATAGTTGCTTTTTTCTTTGTTGAAGCAGACCGTTAGTAACTTGATTAACTCAAAAATAAAGCAAACGTATATATATTTCAGGAGATTTTTCACTTTCTTTTTTAAGTTGCAAAATATAAGACTTGGTGACCAACTTTTTTCTTTCTTCTTTAACCAATCACTTAATTCTTTTTAATTCTTTGTTTTTTTGGAGAATTTCCTTTTGAAGATCTAGCTTTTTTTCTTTCTCTAAATCAGCAAGTTTTTTTCGAATGACGTTGCGTTGATAAATAGATAGTTGATTAGTGCTATCATTAGCATAATTTATCCTTTTTTGACTTAAATATTTAATAATTTGTTGCTTAGTGAAAATCAAAAGAGGACGAAGTATTCAGTGTTTTCCTAATTTAACCTTGGTTGGTAAACCTCAATAGTCAACCAGCACTTTTCTTTGCTTTTGAAGCAGATAAGTTTCCAAATGGTCGTCGAAATGATGAGCCACTACAATATATCTAGTTTGATATTTTTCGGCTAATCTTTGAAAAAAATTATAACGGATTTTACGAGCCTTATCCTGAAAATTACCTTTTAAAAAATAATTAACATTTTCTACTTGATAAACTTCGAGTGGTAGAGAATAATTTTGGCAATAATCTCTCACTATTTTTTCATCTCGATCGCTATCGATTCTTTTCTTATAGTTGATATGAGAAACGATGAATTTATACTTTTCTCGTCGCAAATTATTCAGCAAGAACATACTATCTGGACCGCCAGAAATGCCAAGAATATATAATCTATCTTTAGGGAGCATTTCGCTATTATCAGAAAAAAACTATCTATTTTTTTGCATTGTAGAAGGAAATTTGCTATATGTCCTTCTTTAATTTCTCATAAACATTCGGATTGCGCCTTTTTAAGTATTGAAAAAATTTCTTTTCCTTAGCAATAATTTTTTTTAATGCTCTTTCGGCCGGAACATCTTTTTTGTTCTTTTTGAGATGCTCTCCTATTTCTTTTAACCTTTTTCTTAATGAAATTATTTGCACCGCCGTTGAACCAGTGTCCTTTTCGTGGAGAGAATATTTTTGTTTTAGTGACATATTATAATATTATTTTTTGTTTTTACTATTAATTAATTTGGCAAAGAGAAAAAAGCAAATAAAAAAGAACAGGATCGGAAAACAAATTCAGGCCACTTTTACCCAAAAGTTTTTATTTTCGGACTGAGATTGATTATTATTGCTTTGTTTTTGAGAGGGATTTTTCTGCTTTTTATTTACCTCGTAAAAATAATTCTCGCTATCTCAAAAACCTATTTTCTGAACTGTGTTTTCTCAATAATCTTTGGCTTTTAGGACCATTTTGTGTTCTTCGTATTCATATCCTTCTGGAGGAACATAGTAGTAAATGGTAAAATCAGCCGTTTTTGGTTCTCCTAACTTCACTAAAAAACAATATGCTTGGTCTATTTTAAAATCATGACCGACCTTCTTAACTAAATCAGGTGAAATAAAAATCCAGCAGTAAGGCATAAAGTCAAAGGAAACCTCAAAATCACTTTTTCCTAAACGCGTTTGAGGTGAAAAATATTGCTGAGGAAGCTTTTCCGGTCTTTCTACTGAAAACTTATGGTAATCAACCCATTCTTTGTCTTTAAAAAATTTCCCTTTCCTAACTCCAAGATAAGTAACCTTAATCTTAAACTCTGGCATTATAAAATGGCGCCCAGTCGAAGACTCGAACTTCGCACAACCTCGTTAACAGCGAGGCGTCCTAACCCCTGAACGAACTGGGCATGTTTTTTTTTTTTTTTTTCACCAAACAGCAAAAATAATTACTGCTCCTATTCCAACCATTACTAGTGCTATTACTAAGCCATAATTGAATAGAGGACTTTGGTTAGCCGAACCGTTTTCAATAATAATCATATCTTCTTCTTGGCTAATTGAGAACTGCCAATCACCACCATATTTAGGCACATTAGTTAAATCGCCAGTAGGAAGATTTTTAACAAAAGTTCACTTTTTTAAGGGCTTATTTCAGACAATAGAACTTCTTCTTACCAAACCCCCTTCGATGAGAAATCATTTGTTAATAAAAATTAATTGGGTTAATTTAATTCGTTCACTGCTTTCCTTCTCGCATCGCCAATTAAAAGTGTCTCAGGATATATCTTGATAATTACTTTCTTCCTTTTTTCAACAATTCGAACAAAATGCTTTCCTAATTCATTCTTTTTCTCATTTTTTAACTTCTGGCATCCAGTCAGTAGGATTTTTTATGAAACAACTTATAACTATATATCAATTTTTTAAGTCTTTTTTTTGGCACTTGCCACATTTAGGATTTAAAGGCATGTTTCTAAACCAGAGAAAAAATTACTCGCAAATCACTATCTCCTTTTCTTAATCCGAGTTTAGTAATTCTTGTATAACCTCCTTTTCTTTCCTGATACTTTTCTTTTAATTCAGTGAACAATTTGTTCACTACTCCTGAATGCTTTTTATTCACTAAATAACGTAAAGCCATTCGGCGTGAATGTAAAGTATCCTGCTTAGCCCATTTAATCAGTTTAGCTACCAACTTAGTCAAATTCTCTTTATCTTTGTTTTTAGCAAACGATAAACTAGTTTCCACTTTCCCGTATAAAATAACATCAGCCACTAAATTATTTAAGACATGTTTTCGTCAGGCAGTAGTTTTACCAGGTTTATTAATATAGGACATAATTATTAATTATTTTTTTTTTTTTTTTTTCACTCTCTTTGCACCACCTACATAAGTTACTTTCAGTTTCATGCTTTTGGTAATATTGCTTACGGCATTTTCGGCAATCAAATTTACCGGTCCGGAAAATGTATTTTCGAAGCACTCAAATTCAACCGACAAACAACCCAATTCCTAGTACTAACCATAAAATAGTTAGTAATATTTCGCCTATCTCCATATGATAATTATATTTTAACTTTTTTGGCCACTGTTTCGGGTTCTAATTCGGTTTCCTTTTTCTTTTTGGTGCTTACGTTATCGCCAATCAGTTGGGAGATATGACTAAAAAAATTTTGGGATATCTTTAATGCCTCTTGGAGAGCCTCACGCGGCTCAATCATTCCATTAGTATTAACAGTTAAAGTTAATTCTTCCTCCTTCTTGTCAACGGATACTTCAACTACTTGTGAATTCACTAATTTAACCGGAGAATAATTGGTGTCCAGGATGATGATATTATCTTCTTCTTCGTGCGGGAAATAGTTTTTTATCATTTTTTTCATTTCCTCTTGTTCTTTCCTTTCTTTTCTTTCCTGATAGCCTAAGTTCTTTTGAAAAAATAATTTTAGACCTAACTTCCCCCCTGGACTAAGAGTAATCAATTCTAATTCAGGATTTTTAATTTCTACTTCTTTAATTTTCGAAAAGTCGCCAGCAGTAATTACGCTCTCTTTTTTGGTGTTATTTTCTGCCATCATTTCTGCCATGTAAATTTCCTTCTCTTTAACTTTCTTTTCAGCAAAAACAATTTTTTTCAATTTATCGATTAAATATCAAGGGATAGGTTTATCAACTCCCTTTCAACTGGCGTCAACTTTGGTTTTAATCGGACCGTTTTCGTCAGATATTTCTAGCCCTGCAATTGCTATTCCGCTGATGTGGTTAAGGAGAATTTGACGAAGAAAATTACCGATGGCTATTCCAGAGGTAGGAGGCAAATGATGGAAAATAAAAGTGGAACTGTAAGGTTGATTTTTATTAATTATTTCTTTATCGATTTTTAAGGAATTAAGTATTGACATATATATTTATTTTCGTGGTGCTTTTCGGGGACGACAACCGCCGTGAGGAACAGGAGTTGCATCACCTATTCACTTAATGTTTAGAGATTTTTCTCCTAGCAACTTTTTTACGACAAGGTCTCGACCAGGTGCAATTCCCTTAGTTCTTACTTCAATAATATCGTGAATTCCGAATTCAGCCGCTTTCTCGATCGCTTTTTTGGCAACTCTTTCGGCCATAAAGGGAGTTCCTTTCTTAGTTCCTTTAACTTTTTTGCCATTACCGAGGTCTATGTTTCCAGCACTAATCGTCTCTCCTAAAGCATCACCATTTTCTTTGGTTAACCGCAAAATGGTGTTGTTAAAACTAAATCCAATATGAATTATTCCCCTCCCTTCGGGAACTTTTTTGATTTTAGTATCTTTTTTAGAACCTTTTTTTCCTTTTGGCATTCTATATTATAATTTTATCTATTTGTTTTCAAGATGTTTATTTTTTATGCTCACAACCAATAAAAAAGCGAGGACAGAAAACCGAACCCTAAAACATGAAATACACCAAAAATAGCAAAAGGGTCGCCACTAAAAATACCAAAAAATATAAGACCTAGAAGTCCCAAAAAAGTAAAAAAAGTCCATAACATTAAAAATTTTAAAAAGCCTTTTTTCTGACCGAAACGGGAGAAAAATCAAGCCGGAATTGTTAAAAACAGGGCAACTATAACTCAATCAGCAATGAAAATTATGGTGTTAGAAAATTGTATTTTCATAATTAGACTAAACTAACTAATTTTTTATGACTAGTCGGAAAATATTTGAAAAAATGCTAACATAAATTACTAGCCAACAAAACAAACATTTCCTGTGCAAGGACTTCTCATAAAATTATTTTGGTGATGGCGCTTTTTTCTTGCCTGCAACTGCTATCTTTTTCCGGGTTGCTGCACCACCTTTTTTAGCAGTCTGAGCATTATGCCTAGTTCTTTGACCATGTATGGGCAATTTTTTTGCTCGTCGAAGACCATGATAAGTCCCAAGTTTATTTTGGTTGTCAATATTTTTTTCAATTTTTTCTTTTAATTCCCCCTCAGTTAAAAACTCCCTTATCCCTAATCTAACAAGATGAATTTGTTCATAAGTTAAGTCACGAACTTTAGTAAAAGGATTGATATTTGACTTCTCTAGAATTTGGCGAGAGGGAGAAGTTGGACCAAACTTTTTTCCAAATCCATAAATATAACTCAAAGCCACTCAAATGTTTTTATTTTCAGGCAACTGTTTATTACTAATACTAACCATATTATAAATTTAATTATTTTCTAATCTTAACTTTATTTTATGCAAAAGTCATAATTAATTGCCTAGAATCCCGGCACGATAGTTAAAAAGATGCATAAGTTTTATAAATTTTATCTATTCTTCTTCTTCAACTGTGTTTTTTTCTTTTTGTTGAAGAAGTTTTTTTTCGCTTTCGAGATGCTGCTGTTCTTCTTGCTTGTCCGCAGCTAACTTTATCCAAACATCTTTCAGTTCTCCCTGAGAGACTTCTAACTCACTTTCCAACTTAGATTTCTCTGCTTTCACTTCTTCTAATAATGAAGCAGCATCAGTTTTTTTAACTCATCCTAATTTTTGGAAAAGCCGGCGAAAAAAACCTATTTTTTTATTTTCCTCTTGGATTTTTTCAGGAGGGGTTAATTCTAATTCCATTTCTTTTTTTTCTAATTTATCAATCCTTTCTATCAAGTTGGTTATTTTGCTCTGTATCTTACTAATCAAAACTTGATCATGCTCAATTCTCTTTCGATTCTCCTTTTTTTCTTTTTGACGAAGTTCTTGATGCCTTCTGTATTCCTTACAGTAATTTAAAAAGCATTTTCGCGAGCAAAACTCAGCTCCTTTTGCAATATCAATTTCCCAAATTCTTTGCTCTTCCTCTCTTAACTTATAAGAAAAATCTTTACCAATGCTAACATTACAAAGATAACAATACCCGAGTTTAAGGTCTTTGTGTTGAAAAGAAGAGAGGGAAACCCCCTTTTTTTCATCAATCTGCCTTTGAATAGTTTCCGCTTCATTCAGTAAGGAATTCTCTACATTTTTTATTTCTCTTATTAAACTTTCTCTCTCATCATTGAGGACAAATTCATCTTCAGAAAAACGAGTGCTATTTAACCTATCTAATTCATTTCTTACTCTTTTAATAACAATTTTGGTATGATTTAAGAGTGCCTCTCAGGCCCGTTTTTTTGTATAGTAGTTAATCTTAGGAACCGATAAAGAAAGCAAAGAAGAATTTATTTTTTTCGATATATCCCCTAATTTTTCTTTGCAGATTTTTAATTCCCTTTTAGCTGATGCGATGAGTGAGTAGTTCATGCTATAATGAATTTTATTTTATTAATATATTTTTAAGTTTTAGTTTTTATTTTTCTATAATGTCTTTATTTTCTTCTATAAACTTACGGTTAGGATTTCATTTTTTAGTTTCTTGTAAGTCGCGTAGCATCTTTTCCGTAGAAGGAGAGAGAATTTCCTTTGGTGGTAGTTTTATTTGTAGGTGGATATAAAAGTTTCCCCGGACTGCTCCATTAATTTCTGAATAACAACCCTTGCCCGGCAAGGTTAAACAATCTCCGTGCTGACTGCCAGCGGGTATGTCAATTTCTTTCAAGCCTTTCACTTCCCCATTTTCAATTCTGGTTTCCAAAGTAATTACCTTAACTTTATTTCCTAAGATTGCATCTAAGAAAGAAATAGGCAAATCTACATGAATATCGTTACCTTTACGCTTAAAATAAGAATTTTCTTTGACCTTTATAATTGTGCAAATATCTCCTTTTTTTCCACCATGTAAGCCATCATTACCTATCTCCTTATACCTTAATGCTTCTCCTGTTTTAACCCCGGGGGGAATAACAAGAGGAGGAATCGTCTCTTGCTTAGATATAAATTTTGTTCCTTTACACTTCTCGCATTTTCTTTTAATCTTCTTTCCTTCCCCTCGGCAACTAGAACAATCAATTTGAGTACGGATTGTTCCCAGGACAGTTCTTTGAATAGTGTTGACTATACCTGTTCCCTGACAAGTTGGACACTCTTGAATATCATTTTGAGAATAAGCACCAGTTTGACGACAATTCGGGCAAGCTTTTTGGAGATTTAGCGAAATGCTTTTCTTGGTTCCAAAGACGGATTCTTTAAAGGTTAAAGTGATGTTAACTGAAATATCACTTCCTTCCTGAGGTCAGTCTTTACTTTTAGATCGAGTTCTTTGACTTGAATATCTATCATCTCCGCCGAAAAAGGTTCTCATGATATCCTCAAAAAAATCACCGGTTCGACCGCTGCCAAATCCACCTGAATCAAAACCTCGCATAGGATCTTCCGAACTGCCATAACGGTCATAATTTTGGCGTTTTTTAGGGTCAGAAAGTACTTCATAAGCCTGGTTAATTTCTTTCATTTTTTCCTCAGCTTCTTTACTGCCAGGATTTTTATCTGGATGCCATTTTAAGGCTAATTTGCGATAGGCTTTTTTTATTTCTGCTTCTGAAGCGTTTTCTGATACTCCAAGAATCTCATAATATTTTTTTTTACTCATGAATTATCTACCTGTACATAAATTTCTCCCTAACTTAAAAGAAAAAAATTTTAAAAAGTGGTTAAGTATTTTACCAAAATATTCTCTATTTTTTATCTTTGTCTTCCGGTTCAGGATGAACACCGTCAGCATCTCCTTTTCCATTTTTTTCTTCCTCCTTTTTAGGATATTTCTGTTCTAATTCATTAGTTAACTTTATTAATTCATCGATCTTATCTACTTTCTCTTTTAGTTTTGAACATTTTCTTGTTTTCTCTTTTTCATCTTTTTCTCCTTCGGCTTCCTCTGTATTTTTCTTTAATTCATCATATAATTTTTTAAACTCTTGGAACTGAGGTTCATCTTCCCGGAAATTCTCGTGTTTTTTAAACTCTTCTATTTGCTTTCCAAAAGTGCGACAGTAGGCCTGAGCCTGACCGAGAGTTTTTACGTTTCGAGCATAAGCTTCATCCTTTTCCCTATTTTCCTCTTTTTCCTTTTCTGCTTTCTCAACCATTTTGTCAATTTCTTCCTTGCTGAGTCCGCTATTACCTGCAATAGTAATATTTGCCTCCTTGTTAGTTTTCTTGTCTTTGGCCGAAACTTTGACTATGCCATTGGCATCAATATCAAAAGTAACCTCAATTTGAGGTACACCAGAAGGAGCTGGCTCAATACCAGATAATTCAAATGTTCCTAAAACCGCATTATCTCGAGCTCGAGGTCTTTCTCCTTGAAGAACCTGAATATGCACGCTAGGCTGGTTATCTTCGGCGGTGGAAAATATTTCAGATTTTTGGGTTGGAATAGTGGTATTACGAGGAATCAGCACTTTCATTTCTTCCTCTTCACCTTTGGCACTTCTTACTGCGATTCCCAGAGAAAGAGGGGCAACATCCAGCAAAAGAATGTCCTTGGTATCTCCAACTAAAATGCTTCCTTGAATAGCTGCTCCCACTGCCACTGCTTCATCAGGATTAACTGACTTTTCCGGATCTATCCCAAAAATTTCTTTTACTTTCCTTCTGACTGCCGGCATGCGGGTCATACCTCCGACCAAAATAACCTTATCAACTTTCTCAAGTCCAGCATCTTTAAGACATTTTTTACAAGGCGAAATCAATTTTTCTAAAAGGTCTTTAACGAGTTTCTCTAAATTCTCACGCGAAAGTTTTTTATTAAAATGCTTTGGACCGGAAGCATCAGCGGAAATAAAGGGAAGCATAATATCAGTATCTTCTTTATTCTCTGAAGAGAGATCATGCTTAGCATTTTCGGCTGCCTCCTTTAGGCGTTGGAGAGATGTTTTATCCTTTCCAAGATCAATTCCTTGCTCTCTTTTAAATTCTCTAATCATTCAGTCAACTATTTCCTGGTCAAAGTTGGCTCCACCCAAGAAAGTATCACCATTGGTTGCTTTTACTTCAAAAACTCCTTTATCAAGTTCAATTATTGAAATGTCAAATGTTCCTCCACCTAAGTCAAATACTGCGATGGTTTGAGACTTTTGATTTTCACTTTTGTCAAGTCCATAAGCTAAGGCAGCTGCAGTTGGTTCGTTGATAATTCTTTCTACTTGTAATCCGGCAATTTTTCCAGCATCTTTAGTTGCTTGCCTTTGTTCATCATTGAAATAGGCAGGCACAGTGATTACTGCTCTTTGGACAGTTTCTCCTAAATAGTCTTCAGCAACTTTTTTCATTTTTTCAAGCACAAAAGCCGAAATCTGTTGCGGTGAATATTCTTCCTCTCCTATTTTAATTCAAGCAGCTCCATTTTTTTCTTTTTTTTCAAAGATTTTAAAAGGAGCAATTTTGCAAAAATCCTGAACTTCTTTGGAATTAAATTTTCTCCCGATTAACCTTTTGGCTTCGTAAATTACTTCCTCTGGCCTGATGATTGCCTGTCTTTTGGCAGCATTTCCGACTGCTTCTTTTTTTCCATTTTTAAAAGAGACCACCGAAGGAGTAGTGGTTCCTTTTACTTCTTCAATATTCGAAATAACTTTAGCCCCGTCCCGCTGGGAAACGGCAACACAGGAATTAGTTGTTCCTAGGTCAATACCTATAATTTTATTACTTATCTTTCTATTCATATAATTAATTTTTAGCCTTTTATTTTATAATATCATTTATTTATTTTTAGTTTATTTTGCCTTACCAATTTCTACAGTAGCAGGTCGTAAAACTCGATTATGAATTTTATAGCCTTTTCGCAAAACTTTTAAAATAACTCCTTCCGAATCATTACTTTCTTCAAGGGTTTGATGTAGGGAACCATCAAAAGTATCCTTGCCAGGAACAACTTTTATTTCCTCTACTCCTTGTTTCCGCAAGAAATTTCGGAATTCGTTAAAAATCATCTGAAAGCCAATGACAAAATTTTGAACTTTAGGGTCTTGGTCTTTCTGACTAGCCTGGAGTGCCATTTCGTAATTATCCGGGAAAAAAAGGAGTTGTTGGAGTAATTTTTCATTGCTACGCTTTGCCATCTCAATCATTTCTTTGGCATGTAGTTTCCTTTGGTTGTCAATATCGGCTAGCAAAAGAAGATTTCGGTTTTTTAAGTTTTCAATTTCTTTCCTTAATTCCGCTATGTTTTCTTCTTTTTTTGTTTCTAACTCAGTAGAATTTTCTGGATTATTTTTTTTACCTTTTTCAGGAATTTCAGTTTGTTTTTGGTCGTCTAAAAAAGTTTTATCGTGGTCCTTTTGAGAGAATTTTTCTTTATCTTCTTTTTTTGATTTTCTATTCATATAATTAATTTTTTTAAATTTTCACCTATTTTTTGCTTGTTTTTGGGTTACTAGAACTCATTCAGAGATAATATATAATTATCACTGATAAAATTAATCCTATTCCTCCAATTACTCAATAAATGGTCTGAGAATTGTCATTTTTGCTCTCTCTCTCTCTCTCTGTTCGCTTACTTTTAATGTCATTTAGAGTTTGGCCTTTGAAATTATTAATTTGGTTTTCATCACTGTGGTTGTTAATAGTTGTTTCTCAGTCCTGGTATTCAGAACTTAAATTGCTATTAGTTAGTTTTGGTTCAGAATTAAGAGCTTGTTTAATAGCCATAATAGCATTATTTCGGATTTGAGAAATATTTTGGGGAATTTCGGGTCCATTAGGACTTTGGGAAGTAGTCAATTTAATTATTCCACTGAATTTTGGTTCAAAGAATATAACCAAACTTTTAAAATTTACCGCAACTTCTGGTTTGGTTTTATCGATATGATTATCAAAGCCTGCAACATTTAATCAAACCTTCTCTTTATCAAAGCTTAACTTAAATTGTTTCTGGTTATCGTTGCATAAGGATTGATAAAAAGCAGTTTCGGTATTACTGTCCTGAAAAATAAAGGCGATTTTTTCAAAAGGAACTTTACTGTCAGCCGGCGGAACTGCCTTTTCAAAAGAACCAGCCAAATCAAAAACTAGAAAATTAGTAGCAATTTCCAGTTCGAAACCACGGGTTCCAGGTAATAATTTGCTAGCCGGGATATGAGAAAGTTTATTTTTGGTAAATGGTATTTTAATTTCTCTCACTTTCTTTTTTATATTTAGAACTTTACTTGCTATTCATCTGATTCAAATTCTGGCTCTAATTTTTGCTGAGAATTAGTTTTTAAACTTTCTATTGCCACTATTTTAATTTCAGTATATGGTTCTCTATAACCCCAAGTTTTTTTGGTCCTTTTTTTTGCCTGGTATTTCATTCCACGCCCTTTCTTGTCTCGTCAGTTCTTAATTACTTTTCCAATCAGTTTAATGGGCAAAAAGGGCTGACCGAATTCTTCATCTTTTTCTAATACTTTATCGATAACTATTTCATCGCCTTCTTTAACTATTTCTTTTTTACCTGACTTGGTTATTTTCTTTTGTAAAGGAATTCGTATGATTTGGTTTTTCTTTTCTGGAAATCAGTCACGTTGCTTACCTTTTAATAAAAATCTGATGACACTCATAAATATATAATTATTTTAACAAAAAACTTAATTTGTCATTTTTACCATTAATATTAATGCAATTTAAAAACCTATAAAATTTCTTTCTCTTGCAATTGCTTTCTAATCTGGTCAGCTTGAACATAATCACCTCTTTTTCGCAAATCTTGCCATTTTTTAATCAATAATCTGATTTCTAAATCATAAGTCGGTAGTCTAAACTTGAACCCTAATATATCAAGAAAAAAATAAAAACTCCCAACTGCTTCTAAAAACTCAGTATTATTTGTTTCTTTTTTGTCGATACTTTTGTTAAGAAGAGTAATTATTTCTTCTAAAAAATAAAGAACTTTAATAGTATTAAGATTATTCAATAAACTATTAACTGTTTCATTTTTTTTCAGCACTTCTTGTTTGGGAATTTTTAATTTTTCCAGGTATAAACAAAAATTCAGTTTTTTAAGCAGATTTTTAATTTTTTCAATATAATCAACTGCTTGTTGGATTAATTCCTCAGTAAGATTAATTACCTGGTTATAATGGCTGTTTAAAATTAAGTAGCGTAAGGCATTAGGGTCGTATTTTTGGGCAAATTGTTCAGCTAAAATGACATTACCCAAAGATTTTGACATTTTTTCACTTTTTCAGTGAATATGAGCAATGTGTAATCAAATCTTACTTAATTCTTTGCCATTATGGGCTAAATATTGAATTCTTTCATTTTCATGATGAGGAAATAGTAAATCGTTACCACCACCATGGATATCAATAGTTTGACCCTGAAAAAATTCCTGAATAAACACAGCACATTCAGTGTGTCAACCTGGTCTTCCGGCTCCCCAAGGAGAATTCCAAGTAATTCCCCCCGTAGTTTTTTTTCAGAGCACAAAATCCCGATCATTTTTCTTATTCTCGGTAACTAATTGCCGCTCACTTTTCAATTTTTCTAGATTTTGCCCGGAAAGCTTACCATATTCCTGGTTACCTTCAATGCCGAAAAAAACTTCTTCTGCTGATTGGTAGGCAAGACCCTTTTCTAACACGTTTTTAATGAATTCTTGGACCTGAGGAACATAGTTAGTTACTCGCGGTGAATGATTAGGAGGGAGGATATTATAAAGGGTCAAATTATTCAGATAAGCTTGAGTATAATAATCGCCAATTTCCTTTTCGTTTTTTTTTTCTTGCTGGGCTTTGGCAATTATTTTGTCATCAATGTCAGTGATGTTTTGGACGTAGTTAACTTTAACCTTTAAACATAATAAGAGACGATGAAGGATATCAAAAATAATCACTGAACGTAAGTTACCAATGTGAATATGGTCGTAAACTGTGGGACCACATAAGTAAATATTGATAACCTGATTGGGTCGGAAATTAAGTTTAGTAATTTTATTTTCAAGAGAATTAAACAGTCGAAGTTCCATTATTAAACTAACTTTGAAGCAAAAAGACTTTTACCATTTTTCTTTAACTATCAAGGAGCCGAGGAAAAATAGACTCTTCTTTTTTTAAAGTTATTGATCGGAAAGGTAAACATAATCATTACTTTCATAGAAAGTTTTTTTAGTCATTACTCGAATTCTATAAGGTCCTTCATCACTAATATTAGGGTTTTTAAAACAACGATTTTTTTCATTGATATGCAAAACTTTCCCCGAAGTACTTTGTCGAAAAATATTGTATGTTTTGTCATCTTTTTCTAATTCTCCATCATAATATAAGTTTTCTATAACCCCATCTTCGTCCATTATAATTTCTTGTCCTCCGTCAAAAGGTCCACTAGCATTAAATCCTCCAAAAATGCTATTATTTTCGTAAGGATTTGGGGAAAAACCTGGTGGGTTTCAATCTCAGTTATTAGAATGAGATGAATATTCATCCCCATTATTTGGTCGAAATTCATCAATCGGTTCTAAATCAAATTGTTCGTTATGTGCATCAAAATAATAAGAAATTCCAAGTAACCCATTGTCATTTCCTTTGTGGAACTTAATCCAAAAGTAATGATCGACAATTCTATCAAGACCTATTTTTGAAATGAGAGGGTTATTTTTAGAAATTTTAATGCTCTTTGTACTCGATGGATGAGTAGCCAAAAATTCAACTTCGTCTAATCCAATACCCATACCTTTAAATTTTTCATTCACTTCATAATCTCCTGAAGAGGTCCAGTTCCTTCCATTCGGTTCTTCTCTATTAAAATTATCAAAATTAAATCCTCCAAAAAAGCTACTTTCAGGATTAAAAGGACCATTCCTTTTGTTTCCCTCATCTGGTCCTCAACCTTGCGGTCCTGAATCTCGTTTCGAATCTCATGGACCATTACTGTTCGGTTTCTTTCTGGGTTGCTGTTCTGGTCCAGTATTTTCTTTTGGATCTACTGGTGGTGGAGGAGCATAAGCATTATTTAAAGAAAAATCTGTTTTATTCTCATCAATGATATAGTTATTCAAATCATTCTTGGCGATGTTCTTTTTATCAAAAGTAAAGATATAATGATTGTCCTTTATATTTAAATTAGTTCCGGAAGCAAAAATCGGATTTTTTTTGTCAATGAGAAGTCTTTCGCTTCCATTATTAATGTTAATATATTCATGCTTGCCTCCTACCTCACCATTATAACTAAGTGTTAATCGTCCCTTAGTAGAACCAGGAGGCAAAGGAGGGTTTTGATTTGGTCCTTGATTAGGATTATTATTTAGTAAGTTTTGAATCTGCTGATTTTTATTAACTATTATGTTCTGTAACCTTTGTTTTTCAGCCTCATCACTATTAGTTTCTGCCTCTGCTAATTGGCTAGTAAGTTGGGCTATTTCTTCCTGCAATCTAGTTATTTGCTCAGAATAAGAAGGAGTATTTTGCTGATTATTAGAATTAGAACTGGAATTCTTTCCCCATCAGAAAATTACTCCTCCTATACTTCCTAAAGTAATAAATCCCAAAGTAATCAGAACTATTTTAGTTATTTTTTTTTTTTTTTTTGCATAGTTTTTCATAATTCATTCTCTATTTATATTTTATATTATTTTGCCTTGGCTCTTTGGTGATTAATTTTATTTTTTATTGAATAAACTTCATACAACTCTTTTTCGTCAATCGTTAACTTTTCACACAATTTATTGAAAATACTTAGCCAACAACAGTAGGTAATTGAAGGGACAATCAACTTTTTTTCAGCCTCAGTTTTTTTTGCTACATAGAATTCTGCATCTTCCACTATATATAAATCACTGGTTTTATAGAAAAATTCTAAGAGCAATTCATTGAAAGGTATTTCTGATTTGCTGTGAATTCATTGGTCTAATTTTGCTATTTTGGCAACTGTTTCCGCTAAACTTTGGTTAAAATTTACCTCTAACTTTTTAGTAATTTTCGAATTTTTTAACTGAGGATTTTTTTTAACTTCTAGCCTAAATTTTCTTTCTACTTCTTTCAACTCTTTTCTAATATTAGTTAAATTTTCTCGCTGTGGAAAAATAAATGAAAAATCGATTTCTATTTTATAGATATTAATTAGACCCAAAAAATAACCTAAACAGTCAATTAACTCCTCTTTCGCCTTAGTTCAATCAATATCTGTCTTTTTCCGCCAGGCTTTAAAAGATTTTATTTCATTAGCAAATTCACCTACCTCCACTAGCAGTGCCAGTTTCAACCTTTCAGCATTAAAAAGAGAAATTCATTTTAAATCAGTTGAGCTTTTTTCAGCAATTAGTTCATCTAATTTGGCCTGTTTTTTTACTAATATTTTCCAAGATTGAGGAGTTATCATGTGAGTAATTTTCTAATAAAAAGAGTTTTTGTAAACTCTAACTAGGAAAGATTAATAAGGATTTCTTAACACTCTTAGTACAAGACTTTAACTCAAGTTTCAAATCTTTCGCTTTTATATTTACCAAACTGATTACTAGGTCCTGCTTTCTACAAGCATGATCCAAAGTTCCAAACTAGGCATTAGTAAAAAAGATAATCTGCTTCATGAAATGATCTATTATCTCTGTTCTACTCCTTTTTTTTACTAAAAATTACTAGTTAGAGAGGCTAACAAATTTTAAATAAGAATTCCTTCGTCAGTATATATTCCAGTTACTCTTTTATAAATTCTTTCGTTTTGTTCACTTTCGTTGTATTCAATTTCGATGCTAGCAGGAAGAGGATTACTATTTAAAATTTCTCATCCTTCCTTCACTAATCCCTGAAAACAAAAATAAGCCTCATTTTGGTCATCGTTGTTAATGATAAGAAAATATTCCTTACCTCATTTGTCTATTTGTTTTTTAACTTGAAAATTATTAAGTTTAGTGGTTGCTATTTTTTCATTATTCATATTATTCCCGTTATTAATTAATTTTATATTTAAGATTCCTATTCTATTATTATTTTTAAGTTAGCAATTATTTTATTACTAAGTTTTATTTTAACAGCATTTTCTCCTAAATTATGAAGAGGATGAAAATCTACTAATTGACTTTTTTTCAACTGAAAACCTTTTTTTTCTAACTCTTGCAAAATTTCTTTGTAATTGACCGAACCAAGCGGTTCATTTTTTTCATTCTTTTTCAAAGCAAAAGTGAGAGTAAAATTGTTGACTTTTTGGTATAAATCTTGAGCCTTTTGCTCCAATAATAATTTTTCTTTCTCTTCTTCGGCCTTTTGTTCTTCTAATCAGTCACAATTTTTTTTATTGGCCAATAGAACTTCTTTTTTTTTATTTTTAGGATGTAAAAGGTAGTTGACAACAAATCCTCGGGCTAACTCTTTTACTTCGTATTTCTTTCCTCACAGAGTGTTTTGAAGAAAAATAACTTTCTCACGCTTTTTCATTTCTTTCTATAAATTGGTTGGCCTTTTTCGTACTTTGTATCGATCTACGGAAGGTTGGAAAAGTGCACCGAAAATCCCGATTAGGAAAATAATTCCTCCTAAAACTATTGGAGCAAGAGTTGGAATTTTTAAACTACCCACAGAGAAAATTCTTAAACGATATCAAGGAACATCGTTAATTAAACCTTTTATTACATCTTCTCCAGGTCACATATAGATGCTTAATGCTGTGGCAATAATCGCTAAAATTACTCCTCCTATTCATCATTTAATTCAAAAACTTTTATTGGCAGAAACTTCGCTCTGTCATTGGTCATAGCATCAAGCACATTGAGCCCAAGTTTCTGAGTTATGGGTACCGCTGTGGTGCCCTCCATAGGCTCCACCTTGATAATTTCCAAAAAAACCTGTTCCTCCATAAACACCTCTAGTGTATCCCGAACTCTGTCCTTTAGAACTGGTATAAATTGGTTGGCCTTCATAAATTGGTTGGCGACAAGTTTGACAAACATTTATTATTTTTTTTTCTTGATCACTATGCATATCTATAATTTTAATTTAATCTTCTTTTTTCCATACCTTTTTTTCTTGACTATGTTTACTTCAACAAGTCAGACAAGAAATCATAACTGCTTTTTTTTCTCATTGAAGTTCTCAATATTCTTGTCCAGCAATTAATTCTTTTTGACAATAGGCGCATTTACTTAAATCAATTTTCATAATTTATTTTTTTATTTCTTCTTCGTTTTGTTCGATTATCATATAAGGCAAAAGTGCCATTTGACGGGCTCTTTTAATACTTTTGGCGATTTGCCTTTGGACTTTAGCGGCTAGTTGAGTATGAGTGTGATGAACAATTCGTCCTTGTCGGTTAATGAATTTAATCAAATTATCTTTGTCTTTATAATCAATGTATTCAACTCCTTTGGCTGAAGCACTAATTCTTTTTTTTCTTCTTTTTTTTGGTTTATTTAAATGATTTTTCGTCATTTTTTTTATTCTTCTCGGTCAAACTTGATCGAACTTTTATCCTTAGGCTTGGAAAAATCAATTTCTATAGTAGTATTTTTAAAAATCCGAGCAAACTCTTTTAAAGGAGTGAAAATCTTTGCCGAGTCATTGTCTAGAAGAGTAAATCCTTGGCAAACAATGACTGAAATTCAATATTTTTTCTCTTTCTCTACTATTTTTTTGGATTGTAAAAATCCTTCAAGAAGAATAATATCGCCTTTCTTTAATTCATTTTTAAAGTAGGTTATCGCTTCTCCATGAACCCGACAAAAGAACAAAGGAGAGGGATTTCCTTCTCGCGGAACCTCGATTTTAAATCTAATGTGATAGTTTAAAGTCCCAACTTCTCCCCCTTCTTCAAAGTCAGTAATTATTTTTCCAATTAGCCGCACTTGATTAGAATTTTCCCTATTGATTTCTTCAAACTTGATTTCTAATTTATTGAACTCAGTTACTTGCACTACTATTTCTCGATTTTCATTTTCGCTAAATTCAAGTTTGTCGGATATAGGAAAGTTATTTTTTTTCTTTTTTTCGTTGCGCAAATAACCATAAATTTCGACTATATCGTCCTTTTGAAGTTCATTTTGTACTCTTTCAACGATTTCTTTTTTGACAGTACAACTTAAAATAATTGTAGCATTGATGATGCTTGGATTAGGAACTTCTAATTTAAGATAAGTCCTCGATATTTTTTTTTCTTCTATTTCTTTTACCTTTAATGACAGGACTTTACCAATTAATTTTATTTTATTCAGCATCTTTCTTTTTTAATTTTATTTTATTCATTTTTTTACTTTCAGTAGTGAGATTGAGTAAAATATAAAGTTTAAGGAACTCTTTGATGGAAATGGACGACAAAACATTTTTTTCTAGTTCTGGAATCATTTTTGTCTCTGCGGTAAAGTTGATAAGAACATAATTTCCCAAACTTAAACCATCAATTTTACGAACTGGTTTTAAGTCGGGTCTTTCCTCAATTTTTTCAATATTTTCTTTTCCTAAAAAACCTTCTATATCACCAATCATTTTTTCATATTTAACTTGATTTTTATTTTTATCATTCAGAAGGCAAAGTAGTTCATAGCGACAGGTTGCTTTTTTTTTGGTCATGTGACAAAAATTGAATATAGTTTTATTTTATTATATTTTTATCACCGTTTCTTTAACTGTTATTATAGTAATATATTAAAAAAGAGTTATAAAATGGATATTGGTGATTATGCAAAAAAAAAAAAAAAATCCTAATCATTTGTTTGGTAATTATTAGTTTAATAGTGGTTGGCGGTGCCGGCGTGTTTTTTCTTACTAGCTCAAAACCTAACTCAAAAGCTAGGAGAGAAGCAGAAAAATATCTCTTAGAAAAAAGGTTAGATTTACAAAAATATTTTGTGTTTAATTTAGGGGAATTAACAGAAGAAGAATTTAACTTTAAAAATGAAAAAGGTCAAGAAACAGAAACAAGAACAAGCAAAGAAACCAGTTCCCTAGTTCAACATTTAACTAATTTAACTGGCAGTACTAAGGGATTTGTTTTCCTTGACAAGCGCAACGACCCAGAATGAAAAGGGAAAAAGTTGAACCAAAAAATCAAGGAAGGAAAAACTTACATTGTCTTTGATAAAAACTTGCCTGAAAATGGAGAATCTCATTTTGGAGCAATTCCTATTACAAATAAGGAAACAAACGAAACACATCTTTTAATCTTTGCTTTAGATTTACTCAGCCCAAAAGTTAGTATTTTTCAAAACGAAAAAGAAACTTTGGATTTTCTAACGAAAAATGACCCAGTTTTAGTAGATAAAAACTCGTAATTAAATTATGAAAAGAAAAAAAGTATTATTAACAGAACTTAAATTAATGTCTTTAACAAAATTAAGATTACTTTAACTTTTAAAACTTTTTTAAAAAGTCTCTGTATGCCGAAAAGAAAAAACTATTTAACCTGGCAGGAATATTTTATCACTATTGCCCAAGTTTGTGCTCTCCGCAGCAAAGACCCTAATACGCAAGTAGGAGTAGTGATAGTTAATCAAAATAAAGAAATTATTGCGACTGGCTATAATGGCCTTCCCTGGGGTTGTAATGACGATAATTATCCCTGAGAAAATGATAAAGAAAATTGGTTAGAAACTAAATATCCCTACGTGGTTCATGCAGAGGCTAATGCTATAATTCATGCCCGCCAAAATTGTTCTGGCTTCGCCCTTTATACTACTCTATTTCCTTGTTGCGAATGTGCCAAATTAATTATCCAGTCAGGAATAAAGAAAATTTTCTATTCTAGTGATAAACATAATGAAAAGGAAGAAGTAATTGCTGCTAAAAAAATGTTAAAAGATAGCGAAGTAGAATTTAATTTAATTTCGGCTCTAAAAGTAGTTATCGAAAAAAATTAATATTTTTATGAACTATTAAATCACTTTAAAAAGTATTATATTAGTATTGTTGAGAATATGAATAAAGAAGAAATTCAGTTATTAAACCTAGAAACAGGTATTTTATGACCCCATTATAAAGGTAAAAAAGCTCTCAGTGCTAGCACTCTTACTAAATTTTTGCGCGAAGAGGAATTTAAAGAGATACCTAAATATATTCTTTTAAAAGCGGCTGAGAGGGGTAAAATTTTTCATAAGGCTGTTCAAGATTTCATCCGAACTGGCAAACATCCCCTTTTTGTTGATTCAGAAGTAGTAGATAAATTGAGCAAGGTAGAGCAAAAAATTCATGAAACAATTAACTTTCTCAAAAAAAATGACCCTTTGAAACTTAATGGTTTTTTAGGCAACGAAAAACTTCACTACGTTTTTTACAAAGGTGAATTACTAGCGACCTATTTAGATTTAGAATTTCATGATTACATTGTGGAGTTAAAAACTAGTAATATCAAAGCAAACAAGAGCCCTTTGGCTTTGCTAATTTTTGAAATACAGTTGCTTATTCAATATTTATGCACTAACAAAAATGTTTATCTCTTATGAAGTACTGGTAAAGGAGTTGTTCTTAATCACTTTCAAGTATCAGATTACTCTTTAAAAATATTGGATGTGCTTATTGAATTTGCTCGTAACAATGATAGTTATTCACCAGCAATAAAGAAGGCCGTTATTCTAGAAATATTAAACAAATACTACTCACCAAAAAAATTAATAGAGTAATTTAAGATTGATATTTTACAAAGCATTAATATTTACCGTGCCTTTTAAAATTTATCTTAGTAGAGTAAGGATTGCGATAGTGAACTTTTACAAAGCAATTCTTATTACCTTTTTCTAGTTTTTCAATTCCTTCGATAATTTCTGGTTGCCACGGAATATAAACAGTAACACTAATAATTTGTTCCTCTAAATAGACAATAAAAAGGGTAGTTTTAGGACTAACTTTTTGCCCTTCTTCTATTTCACAGCGAAATATTTTATCAAGCGGCATAGGATTTTCTTTATCAACTTGAATATCTAATAGTATTTGTAATCCTTTTTTATTAGTAATCTTTTCTCAGGAATTAATTGTTTAGTTTTTAAAGAAACAGGTTTTTAAAAACCAGTAAAATTATTATAATATTGTTTTATATATATCTGAATTTGCCTATGGTCAGAAAAGAAGAGAGATATCTAACTAGTATAATCTTTTAAAATCAATCACTCCTAGTTAGATATAAAAGACTTAATTGCTTTTGTAGTGATTGTAAATAATTTTTTAAACAATAACTAAATATTAAAGTAATGGAAAATAATAACACACAAGTAGATAATCAAAATCAAGAAGATATTATTGAAATAGTAGAAGAAAAAAAACTATTAGCACAAGAATGATTAGATAAAGAATATCCAAAGGATGGAATTTGTTTAGGAGAATATGAAAAACAAAATGTAGGCAAAAAGAGGGAAGAAGTAACTGAATTAGATATTAACAATAAAGAATTAGAGGGAAAATTAGACCTAAGTGGATTTAAAAACTTAAAAAAACTAAATTGCTCTTACAACAAACTTACTTCTTTGAACATAGTTGATAGTAATAATTCGTTAGAGGAATTAGTTGCTAATGATAACCAATTAAGCCAACTTACTTGGAACTTCAAAACTCCTACTAATTTAAAAGTCTTAAATTTAGCCAATAATAAGTGGCATAATAATAGGGGGTGCTGAGAATTTTCTTATTCTTTTCCTAAACTTGAGTCTCTAGATATAAGAAATAGTGGCATTAGACTATCATTGATGGGAGATATTAGTTATATTAATAAAATTTTCCGAGAAAACGATGCTGATAAATGGTTAAATGAATGATATCCTAAAAAAGAGGAAAAGAAAGAAATAAAGAATTTAGATATAAGAGGTGAGAAACTAGAGGGTTTTTTGGATTTAAGTGACTTTGTTAATCTAGAAAAACTAGACTGCAGTGATAATGAACTAGCAAAAATTATTCTAAAAAATAACAAAAAATTAGTTAGTCTTTATTGTAAAAATAATAAGTTAACTAGTTTAGACTTAAGCGGTTGTGAAAATTTAGAAGTATTAATAGCAGATAATGGAGAGCACGGAAGCTTTAATGAACTTTCTGACACTAGTTTTTTAGAGAAATTACCGAAAGAAAAATTAAAAGTTTTACATTTAGCTGTCAACAATATTAAAAGTGATCTAAAACCTTTCTCTCGTTTTATTAATTTAGAAAATTTAGATTTAGGAATGAGTGGTTACTCAAAAGAAGTCACAGAAAAAAGAGGTAACAAATTAAGTGGTTCACTAGAACCTTTAAAAAATTTAACTAAATTAAAGAGATTATTCATTTCTAATACCGACATCGAGGGTGATATTAAAGATTTGCTCAATAATATAGAAGAAATCTACTGTTCCAGTGAAGAAAGACTAGAAAGTAAAGTAGAAAATATTGCTGAACAACTCAGAGAAGACTCTCGCTTTATTTTAGAAGGAAACAGGTATGTAAAAAAACAAACTATTCAGGAATCATTTGATAAAAGTTATTTAAACAAAGAAGAAGTAAAAGAAATTGATTTATCAGAACTAGTATTTACTGAAGAAGGCGAACTTAAAATAGAAAGTTTTCCTAACTTAAAAGAAATTAAAAAAGAAAATTGAGTGTACATTTATAAAGTAATTAAAGTAACTATCAAAGATTGTCCTGAATTAGAAAAGGTAAATATTACATGATTCAAAGATAATAGAGAGTTAAATTTAAATGATTGTCCGAAATTAACTAAAATTGATTGTTATTACAACCAATTAGAGGAATTCAGTATTAAAAACTGTCCGAAATTAGAGGAAGTTGACTTTTCTTATAATAAACTGAAAGAAATAAAAATAAATCTAAAAGAATTACCTAATTTAAAGAAACTTGACTGCTCAGATAATAAACTTGCTGATTTAGGACTTTCTTCTGAGAAATTGAAATATTTAGAGGAAATAAACATTAGCAACAATGATGGTCTTTCTGAACTGGATGGAAAATTAAAAAAAGACAATAGTTTTCTTTTTCATAATAACAAATATGTAAAAAAACAAGATGCTCAAAAATGGTTGGATGAGAATTTTCCTGAAGATGGAGTAAGTAAGTTTCCAGGATGCGAAGATCTAGAAAGGAGCAAGATAAAAAAGTTGGATATTAGTGAAAGAGGTTTAGTTGGAGAATTAAATTTGGACGGATTTGTTAGTTTAGAAGAATTGGATTGTGGCAGTAACGAACTTAAAAAACTAGACGTAGACAATTGTTTGGAATTAAAGATAATTAGTTGTCTTGAAAATCAATTGACTAATTTAGATCTTAGTAATTTGTCACAATTAGAAGAAATTACGTGTCGAGATAACCTTTTGACTGATATAAAATATCCCTCAGATTTCAAAAAACTAACTGGTTTAAGTATAAGGAGTAATAATCTTTCGGAACAAGACATATCAATTTTTAAAAATTTTACTAATTTAAAAGATTATCTATGAATTGGAAATAATGACAAGGAAAAAATTGAGAAAGGTATTTACAATCGCTTTTATGGATCTTTAAAGTCTCTAGAAAAATTAACTAAATTGGAAAGCATTCATATCTCAAATACTGATGTCAATGAAGTCGATATTAAAAGTTTATCTGAAAACTTACCGAATTTAAAAGAAATTCAATGTTCGGTAGAAGAAAGACCTTCTTCTAAATTAAAAGAGATCAAAGAAGAGTTAGACTTATATCAAAAAAAAATAGACAAAAGTAATACTAAAAAACGTTTAAATGAAATGTATCCTGATAAGTCTGCTAAAGTATTAGATTATCTTTACTCAGAAAGTTTAAGAGGCTCTCTAGACCTAAGTGAATATAAGGATTTAGAGGTATTAGATTGTCACGATAATGAACTAACTAGCATAGATATAAGCAAAAATAATAAATTAAAAAAGTTAGATATTAGTGATACAGATATAAGTTTTGGTTTAGAACAATTTCCTGACAGTCTCGAAGAAATTATTTGTTCATTTAAAGGCGAAAGGAAGGTAAAAGAGTTGGCTAAACAATTAGAGCCTTATGCTGTTAGCAAAGAGGAAGGAAAATATAACTTCAAAGCATGAAAAGAAAGTAATGACAGTTCTGCTCAGAAACGATTAGATAAAGACTATCCAAAAGAAAATAGAAGAAAAGAAACTAATTTAGATATCAGTAAAAAAAAATTAGCATGGAAATTAAAACTAGAAGTTTTTACTAGTTTAGAATCATTGAATTGTTCTGAAAATAAACTAACTAGTTTAGATTTAAATGATTGTCCGAAGTTAACTAAAATTGATTGCTCAAATAATAGTTTTACTGACCTTGGTTTTCTAAGATTGGGGAATAAATCAGTAGGTAAGGAAAGAAAAGAAGGATTTGACTACAAGAAGTTGAAGAAATTAGCAATATCTAATAACAAATTTTCTTCTCAAAGTTTAGAACAGTTAAAAAATTTCACTGAATTAACTGAGTTAGATATTAGTGGTTGTAATTTTGAAGGAAGTTTAGAGCCTCTAGGAAGTCTAACTAAATTAGAAGAAATAAATATTAGTAACACTAACATTGAGCGAGGTTTAGAATATTTACCTGATAGTTGCAAAAAACTTTATTGCAATCGGAAACTTAAATGTAGATCAGCGAAATTAGTTAAAGAACTCGGCAAATACTTGAAAGGTGATGATAAGGGAGAATATTACAATCTTGCTAAATGAAGGGAAGAAAGGAGAAATGGCGTGGCTCTAATCATTCCTCTTGAAAGACTTTTTGTTATTAAAGGCAATATAAGTAAATTTCATGATAAATGGGGGGAGAAAGGAGAAAATGGTTTAAGCAGGTTAAGTAACTTACAAACTCCTGAACAATTTAGTAAATACTGGTATGCTGTTATTCCTCAATGAACCAGTCGAGCAGGTGCTGTTGCTGGCGGTATATTAGCGTTAAATGATGATTATAATCAAATAGGTGGAGCCATTGGTATAGTTTCTACTGCTACAGAAACAGTTACTTCTCTAATTAAAGAAAATCTCTATGAAAATAAGAAAAAAGAGTGGGAAGATTTCAGCAAAGATGTGGATATTCTCTGAAGTAGTCTTGATGAACTAGTAGGGTTGCTTAAGCCTCTTCAAATTACTAAATTAGAAGATGGAAAGGTGAATGGAAAACTTAAAGAGTTAAGCGGTGACATATACCATTTTTTCTCAATGTACGACATTGATGGTGATGGAGAGATTGATCATACCGAGTTAAAGGTGGCTAGAAGTGAACTTACGGAGAATTTGAGAAAATTCTGAGAAAATAAGATAGAATATCAAAATGAAGATATTGAATCGGTTAAAAAGCAAGTAGAAGATTTTCTAAAAAAGAATGATTTTAAACTTGATTATAATTTGGACAAGAGAATAAAAAAATTGAAGAAAATTGAAGAGCTTAAAGAATTTGCCGAATGTTTTCAAAACAAAAAAGAAAAATTGGAAAGAATTGTGGAAAAAATGATAAATTTACAAGCAGAAATAATTGAATACCGCAGCGAATTCTATCACTGAACAACTAAAAAGACTCAAGAGATTAAGGAAGGGTTAAAAGAAGAAGCAGAAGACATAGCAGAGAAAAAGGATATCTCAGAGACAATGTCAAATCAAATTGAAAATTCTGCTCTTTCCAGTAATTGGTTAAAAAAACCAATGTTTGCTACTATTTTTGGAGAGAAAGGTGAAAAAGATGCTTTATCAGCAAATTTAGAACTAGTTAAAGATGAAGAGTTGAATAATGAAGAAACTGGGAAACAAGAAGTGTCTATAAATGTTCATCAAGACCTTCAAGAACAATCTTCTACTCAAAACCAAATAGAGCAACCACCTAAATAAAAGACAGGGGAGTCTAAAAAACTCCCTGCTTTGGGATCTTAAAATCCCAAATTTAATATTAGCACTGATAAACTGATCAAGCATGGTGAAAAAATTAGAAAAAGAGAAAATGCTCCATTAAAAGAAAAACTAGATATTGTTATTATTCATAAGGAGTTAAATAGTTAAATATGAGTATGTTTTTTTACTTTATTATATTAATTAATTTTATTTGTGAGGAGACAGGTGCTTAGGATTTTTTTTGTACTTAGGAAAATAATTAACTTTCGGAATAAAATTTTTTAATATGAGCAAAGATGCTAAATTTTGGTGAACAATTATAGCAACTATTATCATAGGTCCAGTTATTCAGGCATTTTTACAATTTATCTTTCAAGTGCTTTTTATCCGTTATGTTGATAAAAAAATAGCGAAGTTAGAGAAGAGATTGGAAGAAAAAGAAAAACAGGGACAAAAAAAACTAGAGGAGAAGATTGATAAATTAAGCGAATTGTTAGAAACACAAACAATCTCCTTATTCAAACAAATGCATATTGATAATTCCAAACCTAAAATTTATTCTGGAAATAGAGAGTGGCGTTTACTGTCTTTTAGTTCAGAACACAAAAGAGAACACAATGATGCTTTAGAAAAAATGGTTGGCTTTAGAGTATTTTAGTGGATGTTAGGGGAGTTGACAAGGCTCCCCTTTTTTTATTTGGGTGGGATTTGGATTTGGGATTGAGTAGAGGACTGTTCTTGGGGATTTTGTTCTGATATATTGTCAAACTCATCAACATTAAATTCCATTGACTGTGAAACTTCATAAACCATTTCGTTCATTTTTCTACTATTTTGAGGTTCAGAGAGATTTTCAGTACCTAACAACTTGTTATCATCACTAATAACTCGAAGTTCTGATTTATTGGTTCCGATGATTTTCAGTATCCTTTCCAGAGTTATTCTTTCGCTAGGACCATCTTTTCAACACTTCTGAATAACACCTCGAATATCTTCTGGAATATCATTAGGTATTGTTTCTTTTTTTTTGCTCATAATATTTTGAAAACTGTTTGACTTGAAACAGAAATGGTTCGATGGGCAAAGTGTTTTATCGAAAAGGAAGATTTGGTTTGTCAACTGATGTAATTCCTTTAATTGTTAAGAATGATTATAAAAACGATGTTGACTTACTTTATTTGAAGTATTCCATGGAAAAAGATTTAACCAAAGAAGACTTTGATTTTGGTAATAAGGCTGGTAAGGATAGAATAAAAGATATTGAAATCAAAATCCCTATTACTTCCTAAGGTAAGTTTGATTTAGTGAAGCAGAAAGAAATCGCTAAAAAGTATCAACAAGTTGAAGAAATTAAAGAAAAAATAATAAAGGAATTGGAGAAGATTGAAAATATGAAAACAAACCTTGGCATTTAGAGACAAAGGAAAAGTAGATATTCAGAATTTCATAAAAGGAAAATATTTAAGAAAAAAACTACTTTTTTTTCCTAGTTAGTCACCAAAAAACAAGCAATATCGCTAGATAAACAGGGGGATAGTAAAAAGTGAAGTAAAAAATTTTAGCAAACACATCTCCCCTTAAAAAAATAAAAAAGGAAGTAAAGGAAAATAACCAATAAAAGAGTGAAAAATAAGTTAGAAATTTGTATTTTTTCCCCTTTGATAGAATTAAAGCAATAATGACTGAACCAAGAGGAGGAAAAATATGGCAAAATAAATCAGCAAACCGCATTACATTATTCGGCAAGTCTCTTTTGCAGGAACTTCTTGTAAATATTGTCTTTCTATTTCTTCAGCACGTCGATGGTCTGCTCTTGAATATCCGAGTTTTCCATTGGTTTCATTTATTTCATTAGTCAGTTTAAGTGTTGATTTACCATTATTGATACTGTACTCATTTCAAAAGAGAGAAAGAAGACCCCCACCAATTCCGCTTCCAATATTTCATGCAACAAACTTTCCCTCGTTTTTTTCTACTTGTTCGGAAAAATTAATTCCATAAACACACATGTTAGCGAAATGCTCGCAGTTTCTATTGGCTAAATCATAGCGACCTTTTCAATAGTAATTTTCCTCTAAGCCAGCTATTTGTCGAGCTATTTTAGAGTAACGCTTAAAGGGAATAAGGGGATGGTAGACGTGTACTCGACCAATTCTAGTGGTGGACGATGTATTACCGAGAAAAACACTTACATCATCAACCCTTGCTTTCATAGCACTGTTATTCCAGTAATCATAAATGTGACAAACCTTATTGTCACCTAAATAAACTCCAACATGTTCGAATTCTGTTGACAAGTATGATTTCTCTACTTTAACAATATCTAGTGGTCTAACATGCTTATCCCAGTTAGAAGGGTCAGAACCTGAAGCCTCTCAATAAAAAATATTGCTATTTGAATTATAAGTTCCTATCTGATAACTTATCACATAAGGACTAGTAACTATATTGCTGAAATATTTATAAACATCAGCACAATCGTAAAGATGTAAGATAGGATTGCTTTCTCAACTACCATCTTGAAGTTTTCTTTTTAACTCTTTAGCCTTATCTATTGCTCCACCTAGACTACCATAGTGCGTGCTGTATTTAATCGTTCCTATAGTTTCACTCTTTTCTCCTCTTTTTGGTTCATAAATTACTATTCAAATGTAATAAGGGTATTCAGGAGAAGCTAAGGAACTTTTAATAATTAAATATCCACAATTACCGTTAAACCAAGTCTCGAAAGTTTCCATTTCGCAAATCTCAAATATTCCATTTAAATTACCGATAAGTTCAATTCCCTCGCTCATTTTATTTAAACATTTGGCGTGATAAGAACACCAAAGTCGTTCTTGAGACATAATGTTAGCTATTCCAAAAGTCATTATGGATGTAAATAGGTCGGGTTTAGGTAGTGTCGGTAGTCTTTCTTGGTAACAAGAAATTGCTTTACAAAGTGTCATAATGTAATATTTTACTAAAACTCCCATATGCTCCAAGGCAACAACATTAAAATTTTCCAAATCATAGGCAAAGAGTTTAGACCTAACGGAATTGAATTCACTTTACATAAACCATTAGATATTTAGAAAGTAATGAAGAAAGAATCTTCTTAGTTAACAAACCTCCTTTTGGCAATTACCAAGTAGGGGATTATTCGGGAATTGATACTGAGATGGTTCACTGACAAACTTCTTTTGCTAACGTAAGGTTTGAGATGACAAAAGTGTAGTTTAGTAAAGTAGTGGCTAAGCCTCCTCAGTTTTATACCAAACAAGTTTTTAAAAGCGAAGAGTTTGGGGATGGATGAGTAGAAGAGTAAAATTATAATATAGCAACTGGAACCGAAAGGGAAAGTGGGTCAAAAGACAGAACTATCCTACAAGGATAAGGAAACTTATTCTACTCGTAGAATTCTTGGTAAATGTTCTTGTTCTCCACACGACAAAGCTGAGAAAGCTGGTCAAATCATAATGAGTTCGCAAGAACACTCCAATTGGAAAAAGGATCGGTTCGACCCTTCAAGGAGCAGTGTCAATGAATGCTGTAAAGAATTGAGAAGTTCCTACTTCGAATCTCAAAAGAGATTAAGTAGGGGTAGTTAACACACAAATATTATAGAATACAATCTAAAGAACCAGAAAAAGTCTAACGATTAGAACTTAAAACCCAAAATTAGAAAGAAACTAACTTTTTCGATTTTTAAACCAAATAAAAACCGCTAAGCCGAGAACAATAACCGCTCCCACTCCGCTACCAATTAGCATTGAAATCAGTAAGGAGGGACCATTACTTTTCTGGTTTCCAGATATTTTTCCTGAACCATTTACATTGTCGTTATAACTACTACAATTTTTTCCTCCGCATTTGGTCATTTCATCTCCCCAATTATTTTTCTTTAGTTGCCCGCCACAAGCACATTTTTTAGTTAAAATTGTGTATTGAGTATATTCAGGAGCAGCAAAAACACTGGCTTCATTGAAAAAACCCGCATGAATACCAACTTGGCAATCGTTTAGCACTTTGATTTTTGCATTTGTTTCTCAATTGTAAAGTTTGTCATGAACATACCGGCATTGGTGATTATTTTTATCCGGTTTTTTAATTTTCTCTCCTGGTTCATCCCCTCCTTGCTGAATAATTTCATAATTATCAACCGGAGCAATGAGAATTAAATCGCTTTCTGCCATTCCTTCGGTAAGTTTTTCCAAAACCTCACTTACTCTTTCTCCGGAAGGTCTAATAATATTAGTTTCTCCGACGCTTTTTTCTTGAAAAGAAACAGTAGAAGATAAGCAAAAGAGGGGGATTTCTATGTCATTTCCTAATTTATTTTTATTATAAATAAAACTTTTAATATTTCCTTCCCTTTTTTGGTGATATTCCGATCATTCAATTCCTCAACCTTCATTTTCACTAGTAAACATAGGGAAGGCCACCAAAGTATAATTTTTATTTCCCTGTTTTACGGGTTCAATTTTATAGATAAAATATTTTCTCTCGTTTTTAGTATCTAAGTATTTTTCTCATTTTTGTTCTTGAACTTGCCAATTGTCGCCCCACTCAATTTTTCAATCTTTTTCTTTTCATTTATGTTCTTTTCAATAACTTCAACCAATTGGTCGAAAAGTGAAATTGTTTGTCATGATTGCCTTAAACTCTAATTTAATAGTATTTTGGCTTTTTAGGCTGGTAAATGTAGGGAGAGAATTAGAAGACAAACCATCCAACTAATCTAATAATCTAATCTAAAATATTATTATAATAAATATTGCCTATGGTCAGAAGAGAGAGAAATAGCAAATTAGAATAATTCACTCACTACCTAATTTGCTATATATTTTCTTAATTACTTTTGTAGTGATGGTAAAAACAGTTCACTAATTCTGCAAAATTAGTAAAAAATACAAAAATAAATAATAAAAAATTATGGTACTAAATTGAAAAATAAGACTAAACAAAACTAAATCTCAAACATTTGGAAACAATGTTGGAAATTCGTTGGATGATTTGGATAAAATCGCTACAACATTAGGAATTAGTAAAGACCAATGCCCCGAACAAATTACTAACATTAAAATTAAAAAAGTAGATATTTGGAGTGGAGACAATTATATTTATTCTATTCAATTTACTTATACCATTGACGCCAAAGACAAAACAGGAGTCGAAGTGATTGGAAATAAACATGGAGGAAATGGAGGAAATCTCCAAACTTGATGATTTCAAGGATATTACATGGTAAGAATAAATGGAAAAAGTGGAGATTATTTGCCCGATGGCTATTATAATATAGTAAGATGAATACAATTCAAAACTATTTATCCAAAAGACGACAATTTTGATATTTGACAAGGAGATAAAGGAACCAACCAAGGCAACGATTTTAATTTGATTATGCCCGCTTGTTTTTTTTCGAGAGGAGGAAGTTGTTTATACGCGTTTGGCTGTTATAATGGCGAATTATATGATGCTGATTTAGAACAATCCAAGAAAGATAATACTGATGCTTTTGATAAATACAAAGAGGCAGTCCGACTAAAAAAAGAAGCAGAAACAAACCTAGATAAAGCCAGAGTAGATTTAACCACGGCTAATAATAAAATAACAACTTTAGAGCAAGATAAACAAAATCTTAATAGTCAAATAACTAACTTAAAAGAAACTATTGCGAGTAATCAAGGTAATAGCGAACAAGCAAGTAACCTAAATCAACAGTTAACTAGTAAGGATAATGAAATAAAAGTTAAAGATGGTCAAATAACTTCTTTAACTAATGAACTAAGTCAAGAAAAACAAAAAACAACTAATAAAGATAAAACAATAAAAGACCAAGAAGATATTATTACCCAAAGAGATAATACTATTAAAGCCCAAGAAGGAGAAATAACTAAAAGGGATAGTGATATCTCAGAACTAAATAATAAAATCCAAAGTCTAAAAAACCAAATACAAAAACTAGAAGCAGTTCAATTACAGCCCCCTAAATAATGTTTGGTTAGTGAAAGATAAAAAAGGGGTTAGAGATAATCAAACATTTTCAAACTTTTTGTCGGAAATGCCTAAGCCAATGGTAAATTCCGTTTATTATTGGCGAGGCGGAACTTCTTGTCGTGCTTCAAATTGTTGTTGATAAACTTTGTTTAATTCAATTTCTAACTTAACCAATTTTTCGCACTTTCGACAAAATTTTTGTCTATTAGCCGGGGTGGTCGCGAGAACTGCCCTCAGGTTATTAACATTAGCATTAGCAGCATTTATATTAGCCTGGTTGAAATTTTTGAGAGCCTCAATTAATTGCTGATAAGCATTTTTCAAATTATCAATTTGTCCTTGATTAATACCTAATTGTTGAGCCAAAATTTCCAATTTTTCTTGCTTTATCCCTATTTTCTGATTCAAATATTCCTCTTGGGATTGTCCTAATTCACCTTTTAATTCTTTAATTTTGTCTTTATTTCTGTTGTTCTCTATTTGTAAATTTGTAAGTTGGCGGGTTAATTCGTTAATTTCATTTTGTTTTTCTGCTAATTGATTTTTACCTCACTGGATATCTCTATCTCTTTGTGTTAATTGGGTTTTTAAACTAGAATTTTCGGCTTGAACTCTAATTAAACTGGTTTCGGTATTTCTTATTAGTGATAATTGGTTGTTTTCACAATTACATTCGTTTAAGATTTCTAAAATTCCTTTTTTAATTAAACAGCCTTAAACAGCCTATTTTGCGACAATTAATCATGCTTCCCTTTCCACAATCTATTTGAAGACCACATTCACAATAAGGATTCATTTCTACTGATGTTAAGTCTATAGTCTTTTGTTCTCCGCAAAATAAATTTTTTACTCTTTGAATATGTATGCATGTCATAATATTTTAATATTATGTTTTAAATTTTTCCAATAAGAAAAGGGTCATTATTTTTTAGAAAATTCAAAACTTCTGTTTTATTTTTAAAAATATTTTGTTCTTTTATCTTGATCCCTACCACATCAGTCTCATTAAAATTAAAAAGGGGCATGCTCCCCTTGTAATCAGCATCATTATTTTTGTCAAAAACAATGTAAATATCTTTGTTATTTTCAATCTTTTCATCCAATTTTTCCCCTGTGTATTCTGGCACAACATTGTCGCCCGAACTATCAAGCAATCTTACAAACTTTTTTCTTAATTTGTTGCTTTTATCAAACTTCTTTGCTAAATCTGTCAAATGATTGGCAAGAATATTATTATTCTTCCTTATGTTAAGCGCTGACAATCCTACCAAATTGACATTTCCTTTTTCTAATTCCCCTAAATTAAACACAAAATATTTTTGTAAATCTAACCTTTTTTCTAAGAGATATTTTTTTAATTCTGCTTGGCTTAATTTGCCATTGGGATTGTCGGAAGGAGGACTATCCTCAGGAGGGGGTGTATCATTATCTCTTTGCTGATTAGGAGAATTATTTTTTTGTTCCTTATTTTGAGTTATTTTTCAAGCAAAAATTCCTCCTATTAGTAAAACAACTATCAGTAAAGAAATAATGATTATCTTTTTTTTCATAAACCACCAACTAATAAGCAACCAAATTTTTTATTTGGCACTCTGAGAAGGATTCGAACCTCCGACCACTTGTTTAGGAAACAAGTTCTCTATCCGCTGAGTTATCAGAGCAGATTTTTTAGATTAGTAAAATACAACTGAAATAAATATTCTTACTTTCCTTTCGCCTACCCTCTTTTTCAGTAAATATTAGTTCTTTTTATTCTTAACCTTCTCAAAATTACCGCTCCAAATATCACTATTAAAACAAATAGACCAATGCTACTTACTCACAATCAAGGATTATTCATTCTGAAGAAGGAGTTATTATTATCTTGGTTATTATTATTATTTTGAGATAATTG